GCTGATAGGTCTGGACCTGGAACCAGGCAAAGAGGCTCTGGAGTAGGAAAGCTGGTGTACTGGGAAAGTTATAGCAGGTAGAAGTAGAAGTTCATGGATCACCTGCCACCAGAGGGCCTGATGAGCCAGAACAGAGCTCTGAGACCAAATGAGGTGACAGCTTGTTTTCTGGGAAAGGCAGACCAATATAGTGAGATGGTATTACCAGTGACCGTGTGGGGTCATTACTCAAAGCACTTACTGTTCATTGTGCCATCTGAGCGTCCCAGTGCTTCACTCCGAGGCTGAACACTGAATATCAAATGACTACACCTTAGGGTTTAAGATAGTGAGCTAGGAATGTTTCTTCTCTACAGACACACTTTGGACAGTCACTGACCCACCTTTCCCAGAAAACAAGCTGGGATGAACTGTACTTTGCAATCTGTAGTCCTTTTTATCTCATCTCTGCACAAGTTTTCTGTCTGAACATGAGGGTATCCAGTTCCAGAGCCTTTTTCCATTGAGGAATGTTTACTCTTTTTTGGAATCTTTTTTAGGCTGGGTATGATGGCTCACCACTTCATTCCCAGCACTAGAGAAGGCTGAGACACGTAGGAAGATCGTAGTTTAAGGACAGCCTGTATCTTCAAAGGGCTGTAGAATAAGACTCTTGTCTTTAAGGAAAAAATAAATAACAAGAAAACTTAATTGACCTTATCTTATCTGTGCTTCTTTATTTTTGGATTCTGTATTTTTTCCATATTGGTGTGTTCATCTGCTAGTACATGTAGAGGGTTTTTCTGTCCTTTCTCATGGTGGTTTGTCTGGTTTCAGTATTGGAGTGATGCTGACCTCCTAATATAAGTTACGGTGTCCTCCCTCTTTGGCTTCTGGAAGGTATTGTGTAGAATCAATGTTTCTTACCTGAAATGTTTAATATATTCATCAGTGAAGTCTCCACTCACTGTCAAAGAGTTGCCACTATAGAGAATCAGCTCTTCCTGAGGCTTCCAGATGGGAAGAGGAAGGGCTAAGATGATACTTGAAAATGAGCGTAAAAGAGGTATTTGGTCCAGCCAGAGTAGCAGAAAGGCCTGGGAACTGCTTCCTAATGGGCTGTGGTCACCATAGGTATTGTCTCTGGACACAAACATCACAAATCAGGTGAATAAGCTGAACCGAGACCTACTTCGACTGGTAGACGTTGGTGAATTCTCTGAGGAGGCGCAGTTCAGGAATCCCTGCCACTCCTATGTGCTCCCTGAGGTGATTTGTTACAACTGTAATTTCTGCAGAGACCTGGACCTATGCAAAGATTCCTCCTTCTCTCAGGTGAGCTCAGCTGGTGATCAGAACCTCTAAATGTCCAAAGTGGCTTGGGACATGTAGCCCAGCCTATAGTATCCAACCTATTGCTCAAAGACTCATTTATGGATTAAAACAGCCACTCCCAAGCCATCCCACCACAGCATGCTAGAAAATTGCCTTAAAAAGGTCTGATCATCACAAATAAAAGGCTCAGGCAGCCAAGAGCAGTGATGGTTATGTTTGCCCCACCGCTCCTCTGACATCTTCACTCTACACCAGCCCGATGTGCTATTGCCCAGGTGGGCCATGGCTACCACTCACACTGACTTCTCAGTCTTCCTCCCCACTCTCCCAGGATGGGGCCATCCTGCCTCAGTGGCTCTGCTCCAATTGTCAGGCCCCCTACGACTCAGCTGCCATTGAGTCAGCCTTGGTGGAAGCCCTACAGAGGAAACTGATGGCCTTCACTCTGCAGGACCTGGTGAGCTCCCCAGTCTACCCCGGAGTTTCCAGAAACTATCAGCATTTCAGAGAAAATAAAAGCATACTTGGGTCCTGAGTCTTGCCTCCAAGGCACTGCTCCAGGAGTCACTCTTCATCCACGCAACTAGCCCGCTAATTCTGTCCACATCCATTGGTGCCTTCTAAGGGCACTTTCTTCCACCCAGTGGAAGGAGATAGACAATAGAGAGAAAACTCTGTCAGTGATAGAGTACAAGAGCAGAGCAGAGAAAGCTTTGGCAGCACCTTATAAGCACCTGGGCAAAGTCCGTGGGTGTATCTCTGGGCAACTGTTGGGACAGAACCAGCTGGGACATGGGACACCCCCAGACCTTGGTAATCCAGGTTGGGGATACCCACAGCAAAGAGGAAGGAGCTGGCAAGATTTATTTCTTGCATTTCATCAAAACACTGAGTCCTGATGTGACTGCAGTAGGGAAATAAACTGGCCAATGTTTCCATGAGGCATCCTTCCTCAACAAGGCTAAAAAGCTGCAGATAGGATCCAATGTGATGATGGTTTGAGCCATGATCAGTGGTCCTGCTTCCTTGTTTCAGGTATGCCTGAAGTGCCGTGGTATGAAAGAGACCCATATGCCTGTGTACTGCAGCTGTGCAGGAGACTTTGTTCTTACCATCCACACTGAGGTGGGCCATTCTCACAGACACACTGGGTCATTTGCCCCTCCTTCTGAGTAGGACCCAGAGTCATTGTGTCTCTTTGTCCCTACAGGTCTTCATGGAACAGATTAGAATCTTCAAGAACATTGCCAAGCACTACAATATGTCATACCTCCAGGAGACCATAGAATGGCTGCTCCAAACAAGTCCTTAAGCCTAGGCTTAAAACACCTTGTTATCCCATAACAGGTATCTTAATGCCTGCTCCAGATGCCTTCACCACTGACCACCTGATTTTTCCAATCTCATAACCACAGTCTGGGAAGACCAGAGAGAATACTTCCAAAAAGTCTCAAGGTGTTGTAAACAAGCATGAGCACGCAATGGCTCTGTCCTCAATAGTTGCCTTCAAAATAAATATGTTTTGAAGCTTCTGCTTTCTGCTCCCATACCAGCTCGCTCTTCTGCCTCCTAGTCTGAACCTGAGATAGGTTCTGAGATGTGGTAGAGGTGTAGACAGGGAGGATGCAGACCAACAGAGTCTTGTGCATTTTCAGACAAATGGGCCTTTTCCTCAGCTTCATGAGAGTAGAATTTGAGCTACTTTCTGAGAAATCCAGGTCCTAAACATGTGGAGACCCAGGAATTTTGCTTCAGAGCAAAGTCTGAAGAGGGTTGTCACTCCGTGTCTTGAGTGAGACCTGGGGCTCTGTCTTGAGATGGGCTAAGATGGGCCTGAAAGGTAGACCTTCTCTGAATTACCTAGTCTGTGTGGACTACAGCAAGTACCTCATAAGCCTAAGGCCCACAAGAAGGATTTTTAAACATCATTTATCATAAACTTGAACACCCTGTTTAAGGCAGATTTTAGAAAAATGCCTTCTCATATTTTAGGCTTAACTGTTGAGGGAACAAGGAAAATGAGGGGAAACAGGTTTCAGAGAAATCTGTTGAGGACTTATACTCAGTCACCACTTGCCCCTCAGGACATCAGAGACCCGCAACACTGAAGCTGGCACCCTTAAAGGGGAAGCTTAATCTCTAACCTTTTTAAGACTAAGATGCTCTCATCACTGTAAAGTGATGGAATAAGTAGCTCCTATTCTATACTGACACTGACCCATCTGCTAGATGAGCAGAGCCTTTCATTAGTCTCAGGAAATTAGAGCGCTCATGCATCTCACTGTGCTAAATGCAGCCTTTGTCTACTGCTTTCTGGTCCAGGCCAGTTTACCAGGGCAATAGCCAAAGTGTCAAATTCAGAAATCCAAAATAATAGAAGCCTAACAGGGAGATGAGAAACCTTACTGAACTTATGTGTATGAATATTTTGTTTGCATGTATGTATATGTGCCATGTGTATTCCTGGCACCCACAGCGGTCAGAAAAAAGCATTGGTTCACCTGGAACTGAAGTTATAGATGTAATGAGCCACTATGTGGGTGCTTAGAACCAAATTCTATTCTCTGAAAGAGCAGCAAGTTATCCTAGCTGCTTAGCCACCTCTCCAGCCTCCTATAGTTGCCACTTCTTAGCTTACTGTTTTGTATTTGCACAGGAAGCCTCAGTCTCTGAAAGGAAAGTTTAATATCTAGCATCTGTCCATCAGGAACTTGTCTAAACCTTGATGAGCTTGGGTTGTCTGTAGGGAGAAACCTGATATCTGCTTGATCCCCCTTGTTTGGGATGTGGACTGAGTTGGCAGTGCTGGGACCTTCTGAATGGAAATCAAATCAAATTAGGGAGATGGGGGAGGAGGGAGATGGTTAACTATGCTTCCTGGTCTCTGGGCCTAAGAGGCATTGGCTTGTCTCCCAGCAGAGCCATCCTATAGCATTACAGGATAGGTCAGTGCCACCATAGATACCACCCAGCCTGGGTTCACTTGGAGGTCAGTTTAGGAATTCTAAAATAGAAAACTGCATCTCTGCCCCTGGTTGTTAAGCTGTAGCTGGAGACTCAACTGGAAAGGGCAGTTTGTCTCAACCTAAAACTGGGCATCTTATAAGCCAAACATGGAGGAAGTTAAACATATTTGGTGGAAGTTAAACATGTGGAATCCATGACCAAGGAAGGGAAGGTATGGAAGGCTCTGAGGGTACTGAGAACATCCTATAAACACTTGGTATGACAACTAGAGGCACAAAAAAACGTACTGTCTTCAGGTAATGTGGGCAGAAACTGAAGGGTCTCCTTGCTAGGTCTTTGGCCATTCTGTCACTTGGTGTGCTGGTCTGAGCTAGGATACCTTCTGGTGGCTTTGAACATAGACATAGCCACCAAGGAACCAAGATACAGGCTTTGCCTAGCCAATCACTCCACTAATAGCAAAAGATACAATAACTAGATTACCCCAGGCCCTGATGATAGTGCTGGCTTTGTCAGCCTGCTCAATGTCCCCACCCCATTCCAAGGATTCTGAATATAGCCTTGGTTCCCTAGGCAGGTGTGCCTGTACCCTAAACCCTAAATCTAAGGTTGGTTAAGCTGGTTAACCAACCTTAGAGTGCAGGGACCCCGGGAAGGGGACTGACCCTGCTGCCTTATATTCCTAAATCCACAGCTACTCTGAAAAAATTAAAAGCCAGAAAGCTCTCATCATTTTTATTGGGCTCATCGTGCTATGACTTCTAAAGGAGGGCTTAGAATTACAAAACAAGAGGACTTAGCTCTGATTTTGGGTCCCAGAAGGCTGTGCAAAAGTATGGTCAGGGAAGGGATAAGGGGTTCTATGAGGAATTTGGTTGGGAAAGGAGATGGAAGGAACCCAGTTCTTCCCATAAGCCTTAGGAAGTGGAAGAGTGTAAGCCTGAACCAGAACAAGGTTCTGTCCTCTTGCACAGGTATGTCGTTTCTCAGTCACATGGACATGGCTTGGCTACTGCAGAGTACAGATCCTCACTAGGGCTGCCAAAGCAGCTGAGGCTGTCTCTGCCCTCCCAGATCCAGGTGTGAAGATGAGATCAGAGTTGAGCCAAACCTTTGGGGTCTGTGGATGTGGAATCCTGTTGGGAAGGCTCAGGGACAGGAAGCCTTTGTCCCAGGTGCTGGTCAAGGGTGTCCACCACCTGCTCAGTCAGAGCAGAGATGGAACAAGGCCCAGGAGGCTGAACAGCCAGCGGTAGCTCTGCCCCTTCTCCAAAAGTTGACCCTCCACCTGATGGATCCTGGGAGTAGTGACTAGGTGGGGGAGGGACCTGACCCAAGATAAGGGCAAGGGTCACAGGCCAGCTACTTGAGGTATGACTTGGAGTACGCACCTTGTCGAACTTCTTATGGCTATAGAGCTTGTTCTTGTTCATGAATGTTAACAAAATCCAGTCACACAGAAAGGAGCCCTGGAGTCAACAGACACCACTGGGTAAGGGCATATCAGACACTCCCTAACCCACCCTGGCTCCCAAGTGAGTTTCTTACCACCCCAATGGAGGTCAGAGCAGTGGCCAGATTGATGATGGTAGGAATGAGACTGAATTTCCCTGCCTGTAGAGAACAGGCTTGCATTTAGTTAGACCATCATAGGCTGCTGTGGCAGAAGTGGAGCTTGAGGGTGAGTTGCTGTAAGGGACATGGTGCTAGACAAGCTCAGGTCTAGGTGAAACTCTTCAGCTGTGCGTACCTGCCCATGCACGATAACATCAATTCGAATCCCATAGGCTTTGATGAGAGTTCGAGTGGTGGTGGTGGTATTTATCTTGTAATACTTGGCAAACCTAAGGTTAAGTAAGCCAAAAGCAGTGTTCAAGCTGTCAGACTTGTGCACAATCATTTTCCTCTCTTTAGGACCACTTTTGTTAGAACTATAGTCAAAGCAGACACTACTGTATATCATGAGCCCAGGCAGTCAGAGACAAAAGTACCTGAAGTTATAGCCTGAGGAGGCAGACTCAGACTTGGGGTCAAGCCTCCGGAAAGAGTATTTGGGGTTGCACTCTGATTCAGATAAGTCCAGGTCACAGTCCCAGTTGATGATGACTCCAATAACACCACCCTGCAGAAAAATGAGCCAATGAGCATTGAGCTCAGAGACAAAGGTCCAGGGAACAAGTGACTATCTGACTTTGAAGGCATAATGAGGTACTGGCACCAACCATGGGACCAGGTGTCAATAATTGAGCAGGTGCATTCACAGGCCGTGGTCACATTTCTCTCCTCTGCCTAAAACAGAGCCAAGGCTGGCCAAGACAAAGAAGGTACAACTGACTGCAGTAAAACCTTTCCTGGGTAGCAGATGCTGACACCCAGCTTCACTGTCCCCACACCTTCCTCACCTTGTGTGCCAGTTCTGTGAAGTTCTCCCCTGCCTGCTCTACAATGAAGCCTAGCCTGAAGATGGGACAGTACGGGTCAGAGTCCTGATCAAACGTGCAGTGTTTCAGGTAGTCATTCTTCTGACTTGCAATGTTGCCCCTAAGGAATGGCAAAAGACACAGACCTGTACTATAAACATCTGGTTCCCAACACATGCCTCCACACTACCCAGGCACTGTATTTGATATTACTCAGCCCCTCAGACTCACTTGGAGAACTTGAACTTGGGGTAGTGGATGTTGTTCTTGATGAGGATGGTGAAATTTGGTGCCATTTTACCCAGAAATTGGCTGCAAAGGTACAGACAGGGTCTCGTCTCCCCACAAAGCCCAGGAGAGGAGAACACACTGTCTCTCTCTCCTCCCCTCCAGCTCTTCTGATCTTCAGCAGTAAGGACAAAGGAAACTAGTAGTGAGGTCTGTGAACCCTGCATACTTGTCAGAAGTTCCATCCTCAACCGGGCACCAGGCTGACACCTCGCAGGTCTTGTAGTCCCCATGGTAATAGGGTACACAGCGCCCTGTCCGAATCCCTACAGGGCAAACACTGGTTAAGCGGCTGATGTCAGTGCTAACACTCCCCTCCACTCCGCCACCTTCTCCACTGTTCCTGGTGCATACTGACCATTGCCTTGCATGTCCAGCTGCCCAGCAACACAGTCGTCATCTGAATGGCAGGTGGAACTGTGAACTCTCATGCTCTAGAGTTGAGACTGTAGGTCAGAGTGTAGACTCTGTAACTGGCCTAGGGTTTCCCAGACCACCCTGTACCCGCCTCACCTCTGGGCATATTCCCGGGGTCTGGGAAGGGGTGACCTCCATCCTGGTGATGATGCTGACCACACTGCCCCCCTGGGTGCAGAAATAAAAGTGCGGTGGGTAGGTCAGCTCACTCAGACTAGTCATACCGCTGAGGAGTTTCAGGCCTGGGGCTGGAAGTGCCGCACCTCCGGGGGCTTTACGTATTCCTCAACGTCCCACACTTTGTGCTCCGATATGGTGATCCCCTTGACTTTGGTGATGATGGAGCTCTCCGGACCCGTCTCGCTATCCTGGTAGCTTTTCTGCACGATGAACACGTACCTGCAGGACAGGGCGGTGCCGGCTCCGGCTCTTGAGGCAACCCTGAAGAGAGCAGGGCGTCCCTCTCCTGGGGCCCTAAGGGCTCCCGCGCATGCCTCCAGCTAAGGATCCCCTTCCACCCGATTGCCCACCATGCCCCGGCCAGCGCACCACACGAAGTAAAGCAGGATGAGCAGCTGCACCATGCGGTGCACGAACCCCAGGCGCCGGTTCCGCACCACGATCAACTTGGGCGTCTCGTAGTCCCAGAACGCAGACCAGCAGCCCCGGGCCAAGCGCCAGACCATGGCCGCCCCCGCGGGAAGCCGGGGCTGTGCAGCGGCCATGGTCCAAACAGCTCGGTTCACCAGAGAGAGCTGCCTGAGGGCCTCGCACCCCTGGTGCTCTCCTGGGCGGTCCGGGGGTGTGGCCTCGTGCCCCGCCCAGTGACAGTAGCAGTCTAGTCCTTTTTCAAAGCTTGATGGAGTTGTATATGTGTATACCAGGCAGGTGCGGCCTGGTGCGGCTTAGAGGGCATCCTGGATCTCCAGTTTGGTGCCAAGGAGAGTGGAGAGCTCAGGCCAGCCAGGAGAGCCCGGGGTGGGCGCCTAAAGAGCTCCAAGAAAAAAATGCCACGCTGGGAGAGTGCAGCCCTATCTCTCCAGCTCCACATTTAAAGCTCAAGACATGACCCCACTCGGGGGCAGAAGGCTGACAGAGTAGCATTGTACTGTAATTCCGTTTCCCACCCTCCACCCTCTCAAACCAAAGTTGTTTCCTGGTAACTGATTAGATCTCCTCTGTGCCCAGGTTATTTGAAGCAAATACCAAACATCTTAGTATGTCAGTCACAGAGAGATATTTTAAGCCTTCTTCTTTCATGGAAATAAGTTGCACTTTGTACATAAACAATCCAGTGAGTGCAGTACATGCTGAATGTGGTGCAGGCCCTTCATTAGACAACACAAAACACTCTCTACCCCAAAATAAAACCCTATCTATGAAGCAGCTATTCTGCTCCCCAACCTAAACTCTGACCCATACTAGTCTTCAGGTCTCAATGGGTTTTTCTATGAGATACAATACTTATGTCTGATTTATCATGTGCTAGTACTTCAGAGTGATATCAGAAATAATTCCCTCCTTGGTAGACCTGAATATGTAGGTTGCCCCCATATCTTTGCTATTGTTAATAGTACAGTTGAGGAAATGTGTATATTTGAACCATTTGGTTAAATCTGACCAGTGCCTAAGTAGCAAAGGAAACTCAGTTTAGAACAAACAACTGAGTGCATAATTTTAGAGAATGTTTTATAACAAAAGGCTGGATCTTAGCCTATCTTACACCACTAATTGCCCAGATCCCCTACCACCTGAAACCATCAAGCTGGTTACATCCCTCCTGTTCACCAAGGACCTCCGCTGATCTCGATGCCATGATTTGTGAGTCATCCTTTCTCAACTAAAGTCTCATTTAATTTGCCTAAGGCTGAACATTGTAAGTACATTTTATGTACACATTAAGTGTACATAGTCAATCATAAAGAAGTAACAAGGAGTGCTGGAGTACCTCAGGGTAGCTCAGTAGTGGGGCACTTGCCTAATGCTTGTGTCCCTGGGTTCAGTCCCCAAAACCACACTTTGTTTTGGGAAGTTCTTCTGTATATGTATTGCTTTTATTGGTTAATAAAGAAGCTGCTTTCGGCCAATGGCTTAACAGACTATAGCCAGGCTGGAAGATATAGAGAGAGTAGGCGGAGTCAGGGAGATGCCATGTAGCTGCCAGAGGAGAAAGACACAAGCCAACAGTCGGAGCTTTGCCAGTAGGCCATGAGGCTCATGGTAAAATATAAAATAATAGAAATGTGTTAATTTAAGATATATGAGTTAGCCAGAAATACACTTAAGCTATTGGCCAAATGGTATTGCAATTAATACAGATTTCTGTGTGATTATTTCAGGTCTGAACTGCCAGGAACGAACAGCTTCACACACATACACACACGTGCAAAAAACCTCAAGTGAATGAACTGCCTGGACACTCTAGACCAGACTTAAGCATTGATAAATGAGAACACCCTAAGACTATTATTCAGAGGTGGAATCAGCACCAGACACAGGTACCTGACTGTGGAATCCTGGAAGCTGAGCAAGGAGGTGCCTAAGGAGTTGTTGTCCTGGGGAGGAGTGACCCACAAGGAGCCAGTGTCCTACGCCTCCCACCAGAGGCGTGTTTGACTATTATTGGTTAGTCCTGACCTGGAACAGAGGCAAAAAGGAGGCGAACTGTGGTAGTAGGCCAAGTTCATGTCTGGAGGTCCTGTGCTGAAGGTGGGGCAGGAAGCAGGAAACAGAGGCATGTAGAGTTACAGATCAAAGACTAGAGCACTATTTCCTTGGCTAACCTGTAACCTCTGCTTCAAGGCTGACATCTGTTCTGGAAACTGCAGTTTGGCTGGTCTCACTCTGCACAGAGGAGCGAGCAGATCTGAGGCGAGGAGGTAGGACCACCAGGTACTCAGCAGTGCTGAGACTCCTTTCTCCCTCCAGGAATAAGTCATATTAGTCTGTCCTAGATGGGTGGAACCTGACAGGAAAGAGCAGATAGTATAGTTATAGTATAGTTTCTGCTCTACCCAGAGGCTGCAATCATCTCTTTCCCTCAAAACTGAGTGAAAACTAAGTTGTAAAATGACTTCTTTTAGGACAATGCACAGCCGGAAAAACCCATTTTGTACAATACAGAATAACTTAGAGTAGGTGTAATCTGATTTCTTCTCTTCGCATTAAACACTGTCTATCTAGACCCTGGCAGCACGCCATCATCTGTCTCAATAGAGTTGATGACTCCAGGCCTTCATAGAAGGGGCCACAAAGTATTTCAAACTTCTGTCACTCAAAAGGCATAGTGATGTGCTCTTTTTTATTTTGTTTTGTTTTTTGAGACAGTGTTTCTCTGTGTATCTTTGCCTGTCCTGGAACTCACTCTGTAGACCAAGCTGGCCTCATTCACAGAGATCTGCTTGCCTCTGCTTCCCAAGTGCTGGAATTGAAGGCATGTGCCACCACACCTGGCAGTGTATGTGTGTGTGTGTGTGTGTGTGTGTGTGTGTGTGTGTGTGTGTGTGTGAGAGAGAGAGAGAGAGAGAGAGAGAGAGAGAGAGAGAGAGAGAGAGAGAGAGAGGTGCTCTTTTAAAAGTGGATTTAGAAGAGAGGAGAGTGGTCAGTCCTTTTAGTAAGCCTTTCTTTTACTGGGTCTTTGTCTTTTTTTCTTTCTCCTTCATCTCCTCCCTTTTTTCCACTTTCTTTTTTAGTGCAGATCAAAACAGGACTCTGCCTTCAGACTACAACGTTCTCTTCCAAAACCAATGAACCAGACTCCTGAATACAATGTTCCAATGCAGTGGGCTGTGGCTTATTGTAGATTTCTATAACTGATGTTTTGGAACCCAAAACTTAAACCATGTATTCTGCTTTGTTGAGGGAACTCATACTAAAATGCCGTGTGTCCTGCTGTTTTGTTGAGGGAACTCTTTGTTGAGGTGTCTTTCACTGGTTGATGTCATCCTCAGGGAGGCACTCAGTGGATATCATTTGGGGCAGAGTAGATTTTATATAACTCATATAACAGGTGCTCAGTGGAAAAGCCACACTTGTGGCATGGAACAGAGTGCTGGAAGAAACCAGAGCTCCTGTGACTTCCCAGTCCTGATCCTGTTTCCCAGTGTCTTCAGTCTTCAGTCCCTCTTCCTGTCCCCAGTTTAGGAGTCAAAGAGGAAGGAGAGAATGCCTGTGGGCCAACATAACTGTGCTAAGAAAATTCCCACTTCTCCATGAGCCTCAGGGTATGGGTCCCACTCCTCCTGCTCCAGTCTGTGTCTGTTTTTTAGGCTCAGCTCTTCCATCCTGTAGTTCCAGCACCCCATCAGGGCCACTCCAAACATGCAACAGGATGGGAGATGCTAGCTAAAGAGCAATATATAAACATCAACTTCTCCTTCCAGTAGGATTCCTTGCTTGTGCCTTCAAGCAGTCTAGGAAGTAAAAACAAAAACAAAACAACAACAACAATACACACACACAAATCCAATCCAACTCTATTTTGCAACACAGAAATTTCTCATGAAAAACACAGGAAAACAAACAAGATATCAATGGAAATCCTCTGAAAACAGGAGGCTTAGATGGAACTTGTGTTCTCGTCTGCTTTCTGCTGCCATGACAAAATAGTACCTGGAAAGAGTTTATTCGGCTTATACTTCCACATTACAGTTCATCATTGAGGGAAGTCAGGGTAGAAATGCAAGCAGGAACCTGGAGGTGGGAACTGAAGCAGATATTATGAAGGAAGGATGCTTACTGGCTTGCTTTTCCTTCCCCCAACTCATACTCAACCAACTTTCTCATAGCATTCAGGACTACCACCTGAGGGTGTACTCCCCACAGTGGGTTGGGCCTTCCTACATCAATTGTAATCAAGATGATGTACCATAGACATGCCTAAAAAGGCCAGTCTAATGGAAGGAATTCCTCAATTGAGGTTCCTTCTTGCCAGGAGTCTCTAGTTTGTATGAAATTGACAAAAACTAACCAGGACATCTGACTTCATAAGGGAGATGACCAAATTCACAAAAGGCTTATTAATTTCCTCAGTGTCCCTTGGAAGTCCCTGAGGGCTAAGACTAGATTGGAGCCCAGATAGTGTTGTGTCCTATCTAAGGCTAAGTGTAGTCACCTCAACCCCAAGGCTAGCATGCCTGAAAGGGCTGAAGTGAAAATTAGTGTCCAGAAGATTTTAGAATGGGTGTTAAGTGGGAGTGGGGCTGGAGGTCAGTTTAGGGGTGACAGCCTCAGGAGCAGATTTAAGGACTCATCTGATCAATTGTACAGGCTGGGCCTGGGCACATCAGGACTTTGAGGGGTTTGCATTGCTGCACTGTAGTGTTTCTAGAGTCTTGTCTATGTTGGAGTCAGAGGCTCAAGGACCCTCCCAATAGAGCTCTGAGCGATAGCACATCAAGCCTGGGGAAAGCTGGCTCCAGTTCTATAGTGGGATTTCCTCTGGCATGGTAGATGTTTTAGACCTACCATAGGTGGTGTCTATGCCAAGTTCAAGATCCATGAAGCATAAATAGTCCACAGTGTGCTATGACTCTTGTTGTTTGAGAATGTAGCCTGAGATAAATGGATTCCAATTTGCCCCTTTGATAAGCATCCACCCACTAAACACTCTCAAGAGGTCTGAGACTGGCACCACCTTGGCATGACATGATTTGGAACCTGGCTGCTCACAAGCACTGCTCAAGGGGCAGTGCTCTGGCCTGGCCACAAAGTGAGACCCTCAGGGAGGCTCCTTCTCTGAATATTCATAGATGACATTGCAAGTAGTCACACTGAGTACACGTCTTATCTTCTATTAGATTGTAATGAGGGTAGAATTGTTCCATTCTGCTCACATCATTGAGAAGATAAGAAAGATGGCTTGTCCCATCAGCACATCATGCTTTGTGAGCTCCAAGTTACCTCTGGCATGAGAACAAGACTCTCACAAACAGCAGTGATGACAGCACAGAATACTGAGAAGTGACTCTGGAGATTCAGAGGTGAAGAGGAAAGAGCCTACTTGTGGACAGAGAGGGAAGCACTGTGTTCTGTTGTCTGAGAGCAGGGCAGCTGCCACGTTACACTTCTCAAGTCCACAGTAGCCAGATGTGAGAGGGGCAGAGGAGGGGAAGAGGCATATCCCAAAGTCAGTCCCAGAACTCTGCACAAGCTCCGCCAGAATATCTGGTCACCATTGCACTTGAGTTCACTACTTATGCCATACACACAGAATCAGATTTGAACCAGTCCAGGCCTATCAACTGCTTGCTGAGATGAATAGACACTATTCTTAAAGACAAAGGAACCCAGGCCATTAACAACACATCATTCAACACTTAGGGCACACCAAAATAAAAACATACGAAAAAATGGAACCCATGACAAAAACAGGATGAGCAGAAACAGTTCAGGAGAGACTTCCGTAGCAGCTGCTGCACTCAAGGACAGAGCTGTGAAGCTCTTGGAACCTGTGTGGAGGCCGTAAAGGAAGGAGATAGACAGTACACTCTTCTGACTTTACCCTCCTTCATTTGGCCTCTTTTTTCCTGACTTTGCCTTTCATAGTTAATCTAATCCATTTGGAATTGGCCTTTTTAAAAAATATTTATTGTATGTGTGCAAGTGTTTAGCCTGCATGTATGTCTGTGCACTGTATGCACACCTGGCCAGAAAAAGGCATCAGATCCTTTGGAACTGGAGTTACAGGCAGTTGTAAGCAGTCACATGGGTTCTGGAAACAAAAACTGGGTCCTCTGCAAAAGCAGCAAATTCCCTCTTAACTACTTGAACCACCTCCTCCTGCCTCTTTTTTGTATAAAAAGGATCTTACTGCATGATCCAAGCTATCCTGAAACTCTGGGATTGCAGTACAGGTCACTGCTACCTCTCAAAAGTCTGCCTTTCATTATGACCAGCCTCTTAGATCACCAGTTACCTTTTTATTCAGTTTCTCACAAATGTTAAGCAAGAACTCTAACTACTAAGCTACATTTCCAGCCCTTTTTTATTTTATTTTTTTAAGTTGCCTAGGCTGTCCTTGAATTTGTAATTCTCCTGCCTTAGGCTCGCTTACAGCTGGGAAGACAGAGCTGAGCCACTGGGCCCAGTTCCTGAATTACTTGTGAAAACCTCTGTTCTCCCTTGATGACCATTATTACAACCTGGAAACACAGACAGGGTTCGGGCAGTGGGCTGAAGTTTTACTCCGCACATCACCAACTCTCCGCCCAAGGTTACAGACCTGGTGTTTATGTCTACTGCAAACCCAGGGCTACAGTGAGGAGAGATTTGCCTGACCCCAGTGGGGCCTTTTCCATACTGTGTACACTGTAGCAGGGAATGTTCTGCACAAACCCCCTGTGGAGAGGGATCAGAGGCCAGGGCTTGACATCCTTGTCCATGAGGACTTGAGCACTGTCACCTGTCCTCATCTTAAATAACTCACAGTTGTCTAGTGACACTAGGGTTGTCCTGATTTCTACGATTATTAATAGCTAACATTCATTGTAAGTTCTTATTGCTTCTAATACTCTGTTCTCTATTAGATTTCTCCATTAACATTCTAACGAGAGGAGAAATACAACCTCTTCCTCATAATTTTATTTTAAAAGTCCTGTGTTGCTTCTTGATGGCCACTGTCTTGGTTCTGACCTTTTCCCAAGCCATGACCAGTCACCCCCAACAAGCAGGCTCATCTGCCTGTGGAGAGGACAGGGATGCCAGGAAGAGACAATGGTCATATACTGAGTGAGCATCTGAGTGTCAGGAGCATGCCAGACAGAGGGACAAGGCTTGGTTCTACGGAATGAGCCCTAAGGAGAGCTAGAGATGCACACAAGCCAAGGTGTTGGATCCCTTACGGTAAAAACAAAAACAAAAGCAAAAAACACATGTACTACAAACAGGGTTTCTACATGGCCAGCTACAAAAGGTTCCTCTGAGAGAGGTCAATGGGAGTTTGGGAGAAAGCCAACCAGAGCTTAAAGACTCCCAGGCACACTCCCTATTTTAGCAGTAGATACTTGCTTAAATTAATAACCATAGCCACTCCTGGTGGCACAGAACTATAGTCTCAGCACTTGAGAGGCCGAGACAGGATGATCATACATTCAAAGGCAGCCTGGGCTACACATTGAGAGTCTGTTTTAAAAAAACAAAACCAAAAATAATGGGCTGAAGAGATGGCTCTTGTTGGTTCCCGACATCTACAGTGACTCATAACCATCCTTAACTCCAATTCCAGAGTATAATATGCCTTTTTCTGGGGCTCTACAGATACCAGGCATATATATAATACACACACATGCATGCAAGAAAAACACACATCCTCATTAAATAAATCTTTTTTTAAAAATAAATTAATGTTTGGAATAACCCTTCAATGAGAGGAAAAGTTGTTTAAAGTCCAGGGTCAGGTTGAAGATATATCCTCATCAGTAAAACATTTGATGTACAAATACAAGGACCTGAGTTGGTACTATCCCTAGAACCCACATATAACAACTCAATGTGGGCTGGGCGGTGGTAGTGCACACCTTTAATTCCAGAACTTGGGAGGCAGAGGCAGGCAGATCTCTGTGAGTTCAAGGCCAGCCTGGTCTACAAGAGCTAGTTCCAGGACAGGCACCAAAGCTACAGAGAAACCTTGTCTTGAAAAATCAATTAAAAAAACAGACAAAAAAAAAGCTCAATGTGGTAGCATTCTCTTATAATTCTGGTGCTATGGAGGCAGAAACAGCCCAGGTTTCAGTGAGAGATCCTGTCTCAAAAAGCAAGGTTGCTGAGAACCAAGGTAGACCTCTGGCATCTGCCCATGGACACCCACACACAAAACAAACAAACAAACAAACAAACAACTCTTTCAAAATAAAATCAAACTTTTTTTTAAAAAAAAAATTATTTATTTATTTATTTATTATGTATACAATATTCTGTCTACATGTGTTCCTGCAGGCCAGAAGAGGGCACCAGACCTCATTACAGATGGTTGTGAGCCACCATGTGGTTGCTGGGAATTGAACTCAGGACCTTTGGAAGAGCAAGCAATGTTCTTAACCACTGAACCATCTCTCCAGCCCTAAAATCAAACTTTTATTCAGTGTTAAAAGGAAGTGAGATGACTGGACAGTGGTGGCACAGGCCTTTAGTCCCAGCAGAGTCAGTGAGGCAGAGGCAGGCAGATCTTTGTGAGTCTAAAGCCTGGCCTACAGAGTGAGTTCTAGGACAGCCAGGGCTACACAAAGAAACCCTGTCTCGAAAAATAAACAAACAAAAAAAGAAAAGAAAGGAAAAGAAAGAAAGACACAGAGCATCCTTAACCTAAATCAAATAAATCATTCTGAGAAGTCACAGACTGTGGTTCCAGTCTGAGCCTTCTGGAAAAAGCTGCACTACAGAAAAACAGGAAAAGAGAAAAACCAGCAACAACCTTGGTGGGTAGAGGGAAGATGAGCAGGAACGGCAGACAATTCTCTGTGTGATGTGCTGATAGTGGACACGTCATTCTCCACTTGTCCAAATCTGAAACATATGACTAACAAGTGTGAAGCCTAGTGCCAACCTTGGATTTGGGCAATAGTGTGTGTGTCGCTGTATTCACTGGTGTGATCACCTCACCCCAACCAGTGTGATACATTACTGCAGACAAAAGGGGCTGAGGAAGAAAATGGGTACGTGAGAACTGGAAACCAATTTTCTTCACAATTTTGGGCTTGTTTTGTCTTGATTTTACATTTATTTATTTATTTAGGCTTTTTGAGACAGGATTTCTCTGTGTAGCCCTGGCTGTCCTGTAAGTTGCTCTGTAGACCAGGCTGGCCTCAAATTTATAAAGATCCACTTGTGTTTGCCTCCTGAGTGCTAGGATTAAAGGCGTGAGCCACCACCACCCAGCTAGGTTTTTTTTTTTCTTTTGAAAGAGAGAGAGTATCACATAGTCCAAGATGGCTTCAAAGTTGCTATGTGGGTAGAAATAATCCTGAACTTCTGATTATCAAGCCTCTACTTCCCAGTGCTGGGAGTTCAGTCATATTTATGCACGGCTGGGGATCAAACTGAGGGTGATGTATATGCTAGGCAATCAGTCCATTGACTGAAACATAGTCGTGGGCCTTATGCGCATTTTTCTGTAAACACAAAGCTGCTCATAAAAATACATTTGAGTATTTATAAAAGCTAAATAATAAATAATAAATAATAAGAGAAAGCACTGGGGAAGGAAGGGGATATTTTGCTAGATGCCAAGGGCAGAGCCTACTCCATATTACCCTAGCAGGCCTAATGTGTGATGTCTGTCATGGTGTGGAAGCTGCTGCTGCTGCAACTGCTGCTGCTCCGGGCTGTACCTACGTCCCAGGATAGGAAGACAAACGTGATGTTAGCCTATAAGGTGAGCTCAGACTATGTCTTCCCACTGCACGCTTATTAGACAGGAGGCTGAAATCTAGTTCACAGAGACCGGTGGCAGGGTAGGGAAGCCAGGGCCTCTATGATCTGGGCAGGCCCAGTGGGGAGAGACTTGAGAACACAGACCCTAAGATGCACAATTGTAAAGTGTCTGAGAATACACCCTACTGCTGCACCTAACCCTCTTGCAACCCCATCTGCCAATGGAGCCCCAAAGACACAGCCAATTGGAGAAAGCTCCAGAAGGCAGGGGACAAGGACTCTCTGAGGATCTCCCATGATTCCTTTCTGTGCCTTTGCACACACACCCAAATCACCCAGTGCTGTGTCCTATTGATCTGTGATTCTCTTCTCCTCTGCCTTCTCTCCTGTGTGCCCTGGTGTGGCTCCTCATTGACCTCTGACTGCAGTCTCCTTAACAGTTAACCTATAGCCAACATGCTGTTTTTGTTTTAAAAAGCAAGACAAAAGGGATCTGGGTGGAGCCCCCTGGTCTTCCTTTGCTAGCTCCTGATAGCTAACTGTGTGACCCTGGGAAAGTGATTGTCTCTGAGCATCAGTTTCTTCATCTGGCATCAGAGGTGAGCCAGACCGTGCAGGATTTGTCGGTAGTCCGTCCTGACCATGCCCTATTGTTCTGCTGCTTGGTCCTACCTTCTGTCTCAGCTTGCCTTCTGTGCACCTGGCCTAAAACAACAGATGCTTTTGGGGGTGGAGAGGCTGGGTTTTGGTTTTTTGAGACCAGGTTTCTCTGTGTAGCCCTGGCTGCCCTGGTATGCACTCTAGACCAGGTTGCCCTTGAACTCAGAGATTTGCATGCCTCTGCCTCCCAAGTGCTGGGATCAAAGGTGCGAGCCACTCGGCTGTGCTAAGATGATCTTACACTCTCTCCCCACTCCTCATGACGTTTTCTGTCTTCTCCTTTCCAGGTCAGACAGCTCATCTTGAATTGAAGGGTGGTTGATTTAAGGAAGCCAAAATGGGTGGTGGCAGTGTCTGAACAGAGAAGCCCTTCTGGGGACTGGGTCTGCTGAACTGCCCTGGGGCAGGTAAACAGAATCTGAATGTTTCAGGTGATTGGAGAGAGGTGTGAACACAATTCTGAATGTCAGAGTGACTGCTGTGTCACTAACAGCTTGAACCCACAGAAGTTCTGCACACCCCAGACCGTGTTCTTGCAATGTGTGCCCTGGAGGAAGGTGCCTGGGGCCCCTAGTAACACCCAGGGAGGGAAAGAAACCAGTAGGGGACACCTTCTGGCCCCACTCCTACCTGTTTTTGGATGAGTTAAAGGAAGTGGCCCCTGGGGGGGGGGCGGGATATAAGGGGGTCCCCAAGGGTGGTAGAGGGAAGGGAATCCCTGGCAGCAAAAAATACTTGTCCCCTGCTCACTCACAGCCAAATGGACACTTCTGTGAAGAACACTCAGAATGCTACAGCAACTGCTGCATCAGGACAGGCGACAGCCCTAACAGGTTCTGCTCAGCAAAGTCCATCTTCTTGCAGTGTGTATCTTGGCGCAAGGTGAGCATGGAGCAAGGGAACAGGTGAGGGGCCACCCCATGGGAGTGGGCTCCCTGGTGAGAAAAGGGAAACAACGACCTCACTGGGACTAGATGATATCTGACCATCCCTCTCCAGCAAGAAGGGGACAAATGCCAAAGCCACTCAGAGTGCTGGAGCTTATGTTGCCTCCCGCTGAGTGAGAACAGCTCTCCCCACTGCACAAAGAGAACTGGGCTCTTGGCCTTGTGCCTGCCAGTGGTAAGTCACCCACCCCAACCCCCACCTACTAAACCTGCAGAGGGCAGATCCCACCAACAAAGGGCACAGTGACTGCTTGTAGTTAAGTGTTCCAATGCAGTTGTTAAAGTGGAGGAGGCAGCTGGAGCAGGCTGGGAGGTGGGTGACAGTTCCTGGACCAGGCACTGAGCCCTCTGGGTGTGAAGTTACACAATGATAAAGGTCAGTTGATTCCACCAGGAGGGACCAGAAGCTTGCACAAGCCAGGAAGCTGGTGTTGAAAGTACCAGGATCTGGGGCAGAACCAGTCTCCAGGCCTACAGGAGTGTGTCTGTATCTGTACGTGTGGATTCTATCTGTCTGTTCTGTCTCTCTCTGTATCTCACAGCTTTGTCTCTGTCCCTCTATCTGTCTGTCCATATCTGTGTGTGTGTCTGTCTGTGGTATTCATCAAGTAAAGGTATCATTACAACTACCAAGTAGAAATGTCTCCCAACTTCTCTCCTTCCCATCTCCTTTACTTTCTACTGGTCCTTAGTGGAGCCAGAGGATAAGGGAGGACTATGGAGAATGAATTCTGTGGAAGTCAGCAGCAAGACTGTATGCATGGGCTGTGTATACCATGGGTGCCATGTGGAGTTAAATATATATTTTGCTGTTTGACATCATAATACCAACCTGTGCCCAGGGGTCTATGGCTCCTAAGTTAAGAATATGGTACCTGCTGGGTGGTGGTGGCACATGCCTTAAATCCCAGCACTCGGGAGGCAGAGACAGGTAGAACTCTGTGAGTTCGAGGCCAGCCTGGTCTACAAGAGCTAGTTCCAGGACAGGCTCCAAGGCTATAGAAAAACCCTGTCTCAGATAACCTTAAAGAATATGGCACCTGCTAGAAGAGCCCCCCTCCTGTTGGATCTGCTTTAGCTTGATTACCTCTAGGGACATTTGGCACAGTTTAAATGAAGGAAAGAGTCAGGTAGTGTCTGGACCTGAACAAGGGAGCTGTGGTTAGTGCTTAGAATCAAACTCATGTGATTGTTCTCTCTGATCTTTGCTACCCTTTAGTGAATGAACAAGAGCCTGCATACCACAGAACTAAAACTGGACTTCAGAGAGCAGAGAGTGCTCTGTTTGCATCCATGCTGTTCCCTTATTTGGGTTCTATAAATCTGAAGAAATTAGAGATGTCTGTTGCTTGTTGTTAATATGAACTTGAGTCCCACAGCTTGTAAGAACAAATCATAGAATTGCTGATCAATTACTACACAGAAATAAAAACTACTGATTGATGAGAAAGTGTCTATGCAGTCCATACCGCTCTCTCTCTCTCTCTCTCTCTCTCTCTCTCTCTCTCTCTCTCTCATCTCTCATCTTTCTTTCTATTTATTTCTTTAATATGGATACAGTGTTCTGCCTGCATGTAGTCCTACATGCCAGAAGAGGGCACCAAATCTCATTATAGATGGCTGTGAGCCACCATGTGGTTGCTGGGAATTGAACTCAGTACATTTGGAAGAGCAACCAGTGCTCTTAACTGCTGAGCCATCTCTCTAGGCCCCGGACCCGTTTTCATACAGGCTGTTTTTCTTTGGCAGTTTCTCCAGTGTGAACTGTTGAGGTCCCCCTTACTTTCCAGCTTTGACCCAGGTCCACCTTTGTTGTCCACACTTGCCCATGCTGGGCTTGCAGAATTTGTCCCTGTTAAGCTCCCTTTCTTCTTCCTCCCTTCCTGATGAGCCCTCTGTAGAAGGGGGTTGTTCATTCCATTTGGCTTATGAGTCCAACACCTGCTTTATATTTTCCTAAACTCCTCATGTTCAGGGCCCTGGATCTTTGCCATGCTTCACTTAGACTACTGGGTGTTTGAAGGAGAATACCACAGTCTCTGTTCTATCTAGTCATAAGTGTCTTGTGCCATCTCTGTCTTTTCCTGAGCATTGCTGAGGAATGTGGAGGTGAGAATATGAACAAAGCTGTGGTTGAGATCACATTGGTGTCTTTCTTTAAGAAAATGGTTCAAGGACAGGATGTGTCCTAGCCTGGTCTGCTCAAGGTTGTAAGTTTAAACCCCAATACCACAAAAGAAGGTACCTTTTGGTTACTAACTTAATATTAAAGTATTTATTACATCAACTATAAGACAAACTATATAAATGTATAAGTTCAAAGTGGTAATATGCAATTTTTAATAATTGCTGACATTTCTAGGAGATTTTATTTCCAACTTTTTGACTTCAGCATTTTCTTTATCCATACTTACAAAATAGCATTTTTGGGCCAACAAGATGGCACTTTCTACCAAGGCTTGAGTTCTATCCCTGGGATCTACAAACTGCCATCTGATCTACATATACTCTCTCTCTCTCTCTCTCTCTCTCTCTCTCTCTCTCTCTCTCTCTCACACACACACACACACACACACAGAGAGAGAGAGAGAGAGAGATATGGGGGCACGCCTTCTTCCTAATGAAATAAATGCAAGCCTAAACGAATAAAATATCATTTTGTGATGTCTACTAATGAAAGAAAAGAAAATTAGCTGAGTCTTTCCACTGAAAAGACTGAGGTAACCTCACTCCCTGATGGATGTTTCTCAAAATACACAACTTGGGACTCAGTAGTTACCATTACTTAAACAACCACGAGGATGCTGTGACGGCTCTTTTTGGTTGTCAACTTGACATCAGGAATCAAAACACAAATGACTGGGCATACCTGTGAGAAAGTTTTTTGTTTGGTTGGTTTTGGTTTTTCAAGACAGTGTTTCTCTGCATTGCCCTGGCTGTCCTGGAACTCACTCTATAGACCAGGCTGGCTTCAAAGTCACAGAGATCCACCTGCCTCTGCTTCCTGAGTGCTGGAATTAAAGGCGTGGGCCACCACCACCCAGTCTAGTTTTTTTTTTTTTAAAGCAAGGTCACAGGAACACACAATGAACACGACCTGAGAGTGAAGAAGACACAGGAGGAAGCAGTCTTGAGTCACAGGTTTTTGATGGTTTTTTTTTTGTTGTGCCTGAGTCCAAGGACCCCCAAGAAGACCACCACAGAGCCACACTTCAGAATGCAAAAGCAAGGTTTTGTTCATTAAGGACGAGCTAGCATGGGTCCTCTGCCTCATAGTCTGACACAGCAGATGGAGGGAGAAGGGCCAGGTCTATGTTTGCAAGGGGCTTATAAAGGTAAAAACCCCAAAGCAATCACAAGGTTACAGTCTCAAAATACAAAATTATATCTTATATCACAATTGACTAAAGGAGAGACAAAACTCAGCTGTTAGCTCCTGATAGGCTGTTAGTATCTAAGGGGGGTAGCAACAGCCTCCCCTGGTTACGTCCTCCAGACATCTGCTGACCCTGTGCTAACCACAGGGGCAAAACAGGACGTTTAAAGCAAGCAGATGTAAACAGATGTTGTTTTAGTACCCTGGTGGGTGTCCTGGTCACTTTGACCAGGACAGACACAGTTTCTTGGGAAGGTTTATGATTTTTCTGGACTGTACTCAGCCCCCTAGTTATGTCCTGTCTAAAATGAAGTTCTTTTTCAAAATGGAGTTTGTTTTGTTCCTTCATTCTTTAGAAATTACTTCTAATTAATTTCTAGGTTCAAGACCCTGTGCTGTTCCAAAAATGGCCACTAGGTGGTGCTGTGACCTTGGTAGAGCAGAAGCACCTTGGCAGGAAAGCACCTGACTCAGAAAATACAAAACACAGGCAGCAGTGGAACAGACTGCCCCAAGGTGCGCTGTGAAGATCTGTTCTGTAACACTTCTCTTTCCTGATCAATAGCTTCAGCTTGAGCCAAGTGGATTGTAAAACAAACACTGTTTTAAAACAGCTCTGTGAAACCCCAGGCTGGAAACCTTTAAGGACCAAGTCACCACAGGCATTGAATCTCTGGAGTTAGCGATCAGGGTTGGCTAGAGAAGTGATTTCTAGGGTTGAGACAGAAACTTGGTCCATGGAAGGTTAAAAAAAAAAAAACAAAAACCTGATGAGCTGATTCAAGGTGCAGCAGGCTGGGTGTTGTTGATTCCTGGAGCGCCTTTCCAGGGCAGTCACACCTCAGTGATGCTTTATGGCTTTAATAATATGGTAGTGGGAAATGAGGTGGCTGTTGCTCAGTACGTTTTTATTCATGTCAGGAAAGACTGAAGTCTACAATTACCATCACAGACCATAGCTTAGCAGAGCCATTGACTTGTCTGTGGTGTTACTTCAAGAACACAAGCTGCCAGGTCACAGGATGGCAAGGCTAGTGAGGCTGCAGGAAGGGCACAGGCTGCAGGAAGAGGAAGCAACCAGGGGCTGCTCCTCTTGTTAGAAGTTTAGAGCCTACTATGAACTTGGAACTGAGGATGGAAAGTCTATTTATTGAGTGAGGAAAGGCCCCAGGCAGCAGTGAACTACACAATGAAAAAGAGCAAGTGTGTTTATCAGGTACAAGGAAGCAGATGCTTGAGGCAAGAGTTGCTGAAAGGCCGGGTGGTGGTGGGGCAAGCCTTTAATCGGGAGGCAGAGAACTCTGTGAGGCCAACCTGGTCTACAAGAGCCAGTTCCAGGACAGGCTCCGAAGCTACAGAGAGTCTAGAAAAACAAAACAAAACAAAACAAAACAAAAAGAGTTGCTGAAAGGCAAAGGGAAAGTTACTCAGAGCTTTGACAGTCCCGTAGGGGTGAGTCGAGTCTGGGAGTCCCAGTCCACTCCAGAGGCACATCAAACTTGGGGAGCTTTATAGCTGGGACATAGATGAGGGGACTTTGTCTTCACTCACAGCATCTAGAAGTAAAATGGGTGTTGTTTGGGGGTGATTTCTGTAGGACTCAGCCATGACAAGCTTAATGGAGGCCTGAATTTCAATAGTTTACCCCGAGGGAATACCTGGTTGCAGGAAGGACTACAAACTGAGACTACCCAGGTACCACCCAGGAGCAGACCATCCAAAGGAAATTCCTACAGTTCCAACCATAGGACCATCTGCCAGCACACACCCATCACTTTTCACCAGGACACCCCTAGATAAATGTCAGTCAATCGAGGGTACTGAACCTTAGAAACCCCTCACCCCCACCTTTACTACTATAAAAACCCAACTCTAACTGAGCTCAGGGCTCTCCAATTATTCCAATATGCTGGACACATGGAGTTTGCAAACTTGTATAAAATAAAGCTTATTTGTAATGGTTTAAGTAAAAAGTAAAATGCTGCAAGTCCCTGAGTGGCAGTAGTGAACTGTAGGCCATGAGACCACGCCCCAGGTCCCCAAGCAGTGGCAGGCAGTGGAAAGCAGGTCCTCGAAGTGCAGACAGTAGGCAGCAGGCAGTAGGTCCTGAGACCACGGCAGGCCATGGAGACAGTTGGGTCCCAGGCAGGGAGCTGTGTGGTGGGTAAGAGACCTTGATGGGGCAGCCAGTTCCATGAGGAAAGACAGACAGATGGACACACCACAAGACCATGCCACAGGTCTCCGAAGGCAGCTGGTCCTGGGCAGGGAGCCATGTGGTGGGCGAGAGACAGAGACATAGATAGGTGTGTCATGCAGAGTAAGGTTAGATATTTATTTAGTGGGTTATGGAGGGGAAAGGGGAGAAGAGCAGAGAGAGAAAGAGAGAGAGAGAGAGAGAGAGAGAGAGAGAGAGAGAGAGAGAGAAGAGGGGAAGGGGAGAGGTGGGGAGAGACAGAAGCTGTCTCTTTGAAAGGGAGATGGAAAAGGAAAGGACTCAGGCTGGAAGCTGAAGATCAGCTACAGGGGAGGGAGTAGGCATTGCTTGTCTCTTAAAGGGACAGAGCAGACCATTACATCATTGCTTTTCCAAATGGGACTCGGTCTCCTTGTTGGCTTTTGGGGGACTTCACGGATCTGGACATAACAGTTTCCAGCAGTCGCAGCACTGGTAGAGAACTGATAGATAGAGCTGCACCCCCACTTCTAGGAGAACTGATAGATAGAGCTGCACTTCCACTTTGAAGGGAGCAGGTTTCTGCTCCAGCGCCTGTTGCTTTACACATTTTGCAGTTTCTTTTCAGAGGTCTCTCGCTTTTGTTGCTGCCCACTGGATCCAAGATGTCCTCTCCCAGTAACATTTCATCTTGCTCTAGTCCAGCCCCATGGCTCCTTTGTTTTCACTGAAGCTGGTATCTGGCAGCTGCTGAGGAGGCTATTGGCTGGAGGCCAGCTGCAGGCAGGTTAGTGTAAGCTGAGAGTCCCACATGGTGTGGGCAGCTATGGAATCTAATGGGCCAATTCTGCTTTCTTGTTTCTCATGAGGCTGACTGGGCATGTTCAGACTTGCCTTGAATTAGAGTTCTGTTGTCAAATCCAATGAGTTAATGATGTACTCTTTGCCAAGGGTCATTGCCAGCTGTGTTGTGTCCTCATTGTAAGGATGCTCTCTGGGCCCAGGTTTTCACAGAGATGCCCAAGTAGCAGACAGTACCGTGAATGTTACCCATCCGAGGCAATCATCCATAAAAAGTGACAATCTACTCCAGAAAGGAATGTCCTATCTGAGAGCCAATACCATATTATGCCCAAATCTGCAAAGTCCCCCAAAAGCCAACAAGGAGACTGAGTCCCATATGTAAAAGCAAAGAGCCTTTATTTTATGAAAGTTTGCAAACTCAGTCTCTCCACATGTCCAACATTTTGGAATAAATAGAGAACCCCAAGTTCAGAGTTGGGTTTTTATAGTAGTAAAGATAGGGGTGAGGAGTTTCTGAGGTTCAGGACCCTTGATTGGCTGACATTTGTCTAGGGGTGTCCTGGTGAGCGTGTGCTGGTGAGTGTAGATAGCAACAGCGGTTGGAACATTGGGCATTTCCTTTGCATGGTCCTCTCTTGTGTGGTGCTTGGGTAATCTTAGTTTATGGTCCTTTCTGCAACCAAGTATTGCTTCAGGGTAAACTACTGAGACTCAGGCCTCCATTAAACTTACCAGTGGCTGAGTCCTACACTGGCAGGTGATAATGGTTGGAAGTAAAGAACTTCCTTTGGGTGATCTGTTCATTTTTAGCTTACCATGGCTAGCTCCTATAACCACACTAATGAGGTGCCAGTATTAGGTAAGGACCCATGAGGACCTTGCAGAAGCTTGGAGCCATCCTTTCTGTGATGATTCAGCCACACAACATGGCTGACACTTCCGGGTTCCAGGGCCACACGTGTGGACAAGCCCTCAGGCAGAAGTGCCTAATGGCCCTGGGAATCTTAAAGGACCCCGCGTGACCCACATGCAGCATGGTTGCATCATCTATGTATGATGCAGCTGAGAGAGCCCTTGCACGCATGTGTGAGCTCCGTCATCTGTGTATGATGCAGCCACATCATCTCCCTGTGCGCATACACTAGGCAGCCTTTAAAAGCGGGATGCACCATCTTCAAGCTCTTTCTTGCTCTCTCTCTCTGCACACCGACCTTCAGCAGCCCCCCCCCCCCCCCATTAACTCCTAAGTGGGTTTGTTGTGTGTTCCGTGTTTCCTTCTCACTAGTGCCAGGTAATTCCACTTTCCTTGCTCAGGCCTTGAGGAAATGTGTACCTGGCTGTCACTCAGTACTCATCTACATGAGCCCCTAGACACATGGATGATCTTAGCTAAAGGACACCCTGACCTGTTGCTCACACCTAATGGCGAGTTCTATGGCCTCTTGAAGTGGTTCTGCAAGGCCCTGACATCTGAACAGAGCCCTGTGAGCGGCCTCCAAACCCACTCTAGTCAGGGCTCTAGCAGAAAATGTAAAAACAAAGTCCTTAAAAAAAAAAAAAAAAAGAAAGAAAAAAGACAGGTGTCACTGTGTAGCCCTGGCTGAAACATGCTATGTTCTCACAGAAATTCACCTTCCTCTGCCTCTGATGGGATTAAAGGAATGTGTGATCCCACCTGGGTGACAAAGTATTCTTTTTTTTCTTTCTTTCTTTTTTTTTTTAAATCCCACTCATTTCCCAGATCTTCCCTATCCACTCTCTACCCTTGTAACCGCCCCCAAAAGAAAGTAAAAAAAAAAATAAAATTAAAACCAAACAACAAAACATGGTGCCGACCGCTCTGGCTTCTCTTACAGCTGCTGATTCCCGCTCCACTACACATGTACCTCTCTGCTCCTCTGTCTTTCCTGTTCTCCATCATGTATTCATTGTAGTGGCGCTGGGAGCTGCAGTGTGTCACCCTTTTGCCCAAACAGCTTTACTTGCAATGAGTCATTGGTCTGGTTCAAGACCGCTTGGCTTCTGCTAAACTATCAATACTGGACCATCACTTAGCATGAATTATAATTGGTATTAATAATAAAAACCCAGAGTCGGATATGGGGGTTAGTGCTGAAGATCAGAGAACCAGAGCAGTCAGCCCTTAGAGAGTTCTTTTACCTCTAGCACTGCTCAGACCAAAGGGGAGATCCTGTCCTCAGACTGTATCTCTCGATTGCATCTGTCTACACCAAGTTTCAGGCTGCAGCTGTCTCCTTCCACCTTATATTCCTCTCTCTGCCCAGCCATATCACTCCTGTCTCCACCTCCCTAGTGCTGGGATTAAAGGCGTGGGATCACCTATGTGTGAGCTCTGTTTCTCTTTTAAACAGATTCAATCTTGTGTAGCCCAGGGTGGCCTTGAACTAACAGATCTGTCTCCTGAGTCCTGGAATTAAAGGAGTATGCCACCACTGCCTGGCTTCTAGTGGCTTAGCTCTGCACTCTGATCTTCAGGTAGGCTTCATTTGTTAAACAAAATATCACCACCCTTCACTGAAACTCCTCTTAGATATCTTGTTGTTGCCCAAAGTCATGGAGATCCTGAGGCTATGGTTCCTCCGTAAGACCAGCTCTTCACATGCTCCAGCACCTCACAGATGGGGTAGGTGTTGGGATGGGCCAATTCAAAGGCCTGGATCTGGGCCTGGGTGGTACCTGGGTTGGTCAGCCTACCAGCTCCACCCTCACCAGCTCTCCCACACTAGTACTTTTCCCTTGCTGTGGTCACAGAGGGACAGGGCCAGTTCATCATGGTCCTCAGACATCAACATGGCCCTTGGTGCCAACACAGACCACAGACATCAACAGAGACTCTGGCTGCAGTAAGGCCATGGACCCCGACATAGCAGCACAGGCCCTCGATATCACCATGGTCTCCAGTGGCACAGCAGTCCTCTCACATGGGCCTGTTCCTCAGCTGTGAAATCTGCAGCTCCACCTCACCACTCCACTTTCTCTCCCATCTTCTCAGCACCCACAGCGTGGGCCTCTGGCTGTCTCAACCAATTGTTCTTCGTGCCCAGATATTGGAATCACTCTGATGAAGCAGATAAAGAAAGCAGATAAATCTCTGAGTTTGAGGAAACCTGGCCTACATAATTAAGTTCCAGGACAGCCTAGTCTATATAGAGTCTCAAAAACAAAAAACAAAAGATGAGGAAGGGCAAGTGAAGTCTCATCTAATCCAGGGTACCCTGGGAGGAGACATATAGCTGAAAGACCAATCTGGATCATAACTTTCTGGGATACAGGGGACGTTCCCCTCTGCTGCCCAATCCATAGCATCACTGTGTTCATAATGCTTTCCATTCTGGGGCTTGGGTAGCCATATGGTTATAGAGCAACCACTACTGTTTGCAAGCCCTCCAAGACCTGGTTTGTTGATTACTAATATTTCCTCATAGAAGGAAGTGGGAGGGGCACTGGCCTTCTATTCTAGGTGCTCCCTCTTGTACCCCTTTGCCATTTGTATGTAATTAGCCCTAGTTGAACATGGTCTAGTGATTTAGGAAGGTGCTGGAGTATAAAAGCTGGGGAAGATGGGGTGGCCCATCTTGCAGCTCTAAGTTTGGGGTCTCATTCATGTTAAGATTTTCTGGTGGTGCAGCTGCTTTAAGGCACTCCTTATTCTGTAAGAAAGTCCAAGCACTCTGCAGAACCCTACTTGGTTTGTCACTGGTATTCTATCACCCAGGCTTCCCACTCAGCAAGGTGACCTGATTAAAACTTTACTTCTAAGCCCAGACAGGACACAGTGACAGCTACATCAAGTCAGACGTACAGGTGGGTCCTGAGCTTCATCTATATGGGCAGGTGGCACTATCCTGCACACATACGGAAGGTCACTGGCTATCTCTTACCCCAGACATTTTAAGTTTTCATTTACTGGGCAAAGGGTTAACCTGGTTCTATGTGGTGCCAACAGGCAGGTCAGATACACCCATATATGGCAACATGTTCTAAAGAGCTGCAAGTCCCATGCACCAAAAGTGAGAAGTTGAAGAATGGGTTCCATGTAGAAAACCTGGCATCTCTGGTAATATGGCTGCTGTGGCCAGGATGGTTAGGGTTCATGTCACTTGGGCCAACCTGCAGTGAGTAGAGTTCCATGCAGATAGGGAGGGGGTGGTGCAGCAGAAGTGCTACCCACAAAAGGACAGCCCCAAGGGAAACAAAGGCTGCAGCAAGCAGCATGGACTGCCAGCCCCACACTGTCTCAGAATGCCCTCGAGGCACCTTGAAGCCCAGAGCCAAGCCTCATATCCCAGGGAAGGATAGAGACAGTGAGATACCTGCCTCAGAGCCACACAAGACACTGGACCACATTTTATCCAAATCAAGGCTGTATTTATCACTGTTGATTGGTAAGAAAACAGACTGTTTGGTTCAGTGGTGATAGTGAGGGTGGGGAGGGCAACACCAGACAGATGCTAGGAAGAACCTAATCTTTTTCTCAGAACCAACTTCTAAAATCCAGACAACGCGACACTAGGATTAAAATGTGGGCACAGGTTTGTCCTTGTAACTAGGGTCAGTCCTGAAGTCCACAGTGAGTCTAAAGAGATGCCCATTAGTGTGGCTCTCTGAGAGGTCTAACCACCCTGACAGGTGGCTCAGGAACTTTCCCCCCCTAACAACCTGTCTTGCCTCAGAGGCTTGCATAGTTGAAGGATAGTCGCTGCAGATACTCTGCTGAGTGTGTTCAACTGACAGCCAAGTGGGTTTTTGTGACCATGTACACAAATAACCAGAGGGATTTCTAGAAACTTGTTATAGACTGTCCAGGTTAAGAATTTAATAAGTTTTATAATTATATCAACAGAATATTTACATGTTTTTTTCTCTAAAAAAAAATCAAACCAAAGAAATCCTCTTACACCTATGCATAATAAGGCAGAAACCCCAAAGTTTTGTACATTATTATTATTATTATTATTTTAATATATATCTGTAACTTCGGTTCCAAGTACCAAGGGAAGGCCAGAGCCGGGCCTGAGTGTGGAGCCTCACAGTGCGCTAGACAGAAAGACTGTTTCTTTCCATAAATAAGACAAACTCTGGGGATCAAACGGAATCTGAGACGTGAAACTGTAAATCCCAAATAAAATTTCTTTTTTTCTTTTTTTGGTTCTTTAAAATGTTAGAGCACAAAATTAAGAAAAATACAAAACCATTAAAAATGCTTGTCACCTGTGTGTGTGGGGTACAAAGCTAAATTTTTCCCAGTGTCCTAACTGCAAGCTCGGAAAATGAAGTTACCCCCAGAAAAGAGTAAAGTCCTGGACTATGCAAGCCGCAGCGTGGAGCGAGCGGCGCTGCTCCTGGAATAGAGGACCTGTGCTCAGATCCCAGGTATTTAAGTCAGTCTGCTATGCTGGGACTACCGAGCCTCCACCTCAGGTGGGTTGCACGCCGCTGGCGAGTAGTCGCGCGCTTCGCCAGGCCCAAGCGCCAACGGCGTCGTCCTAGAGCGCGCTGGTGGCGTAGACACCCCGCTTGCAGCCACCAGTGGAGGAGGCGCCCCGAGTGCGGCGGTGGCCGGCGGGGTCCGGGCCAGGAACGTGCCGTGTAGCGCGCCAGGAGCCAGGCGCGGGTAATGCAGTGCTGGCAAGAGCGCAGTGCCCGAGGCGGGTGCGCACGCGCGCTCCAGCTCTTCCCGGCGCACCTCCCGCAGGAACTCCGGGTTGTAGTCGTGAGGCTCACGGTCGCGGTAGGTGCGCTCAGAGAGCTCGAAGGCAGCGGGGCCCGCAGCGGGCGGCGGGGCGGGAAAAGTGCGGCGCGGCAGTTCTAGGCCCCGATAGGTGTCGCGCGGCAGGTCCCACACAAAGCCCGATGTGCCCAGACCCAGATGTGTGGCTGTGGAGTGCACGCTGATGCCCGTGAGCTCCGGTGTCTCGTCTTCCCTGTGTTCCTCCTTTACCTTCACATCGCCCTGGGGTTGCTCAGGCGTCTGCTTCCCGGACTCCCGACCCAACAGGCAGTCATCCAGGGCTGCCTTGCAGTAGGGCGATGGAGGTCGTGCACCCTGTTTGGCACCATCCTCTTTGCCTGATGAGTGCCTCTCCTTGACCCGAGGCGAGGTCTCGCTCTCTGTGAGGATTCTAGGGAGGCCCAGCTCATCGGGGCCCTGCTGCAGGAGGCTGCTGATGGGGTGGCTCACTGGTGCTGCAGGCGAGTTGTGACTAAGCAGGTGCGTCTTCTCCAGGAGGTCCCTGGGGACAACAGGATAGAGCCATCACCTAGAGCATCAATAGCTCCTAGAAAGCTGTTTGTCAAGTTCCTGTGACCTCAATATTCCTGCTGTGTGGAGCCTCTGTATCCTGGGCTTCAGGGCTTGTCCAGTGTTAGAAGTGCTCTAACTGTAAACACACTGGTTGTGGACAATAGGATGCTCTCTAACATTCCTTCCCTGGTTATTAGATACAGTTCTCTATATTGTCCTGGGTGGCTGCAGCACGAAAAACTGCTCGGAGTTCTGCCACTTGGGGGCTGGGGAGGCAAGGCAACATGGCTCCCCAACCCTGGAATTTCCTGCTCAAAATTTAAGCATTCTCAGGTTTAGGGGTGTGCAGTTGCTTTGTAGTAGTTTAACTACAGATGCTGTCTGTTTTAAATTCCCTCAGCACCAGCCTAATAATGCAGGTCTCTAATTCCAGCTGAGAGGCATTCACTGGAGGACTAAAAGGTTCAAGACCACTATACAGTTCAAGGTTAGCCTGGGCCACTTGCCCTGGGGTTCTTGCTGTTCCCACCAAAGGGCTATAGGGGAGGATCCTGAAAAGGCTCTACATTCACTTTTCTGGTAGGGTCCCCAGCTATGCCTACAAGCAGGTTCTTTTCCCACATTTTGTTCTGTTTGTTTGGTTTTGAGACAGGGTTTCTCTGTGTAGCTTTGGAGCCTGTCCTGGAACTCTGAAGATCAAGCTGCCTTCGAACTCAAGAGATCCACCTGCCTTTGCCTTCTGAGTGCTGGGATTAAAAGTGTGTGTCACCACAGCCCAGCTCCTCCCACATTCACTCATAGTATGGAGAAGTCTAGGGCAGGCCCAGGGCTCTGTTCTCACCTAGTTGACTGGTCAATTCTGCTCTCACCAGGCAAAGGACCCTGCTCCTTTGGTCTGGGGGCAGGAAAGAGCCTCCAGAGCCTGACCAGGGAGGGACCTCAGAGAGCACCCTAAGGAAGGTTGTGCGGGCTGCAGGAAGGCTGACATGATGACCTAGGAAGTCCCTGATAAAAACAACCTGCATTAGCATCTGCGGCTTTGAGAACCTTTCACCGCCAAAGTTCCCCTTCCTGCCTCATAAAGCCCCCAAGCTTCTGAACCTGGACATATACCCTCCACCCCCATCAAGAATGCTGCTTTTCACGTTCTGGTTGAAGGGCAAACTGTGTTTGTAGAGGTCATTCTCCTCTCACTTTCACACTGCCTTGACCAATCTAGAGCTTAACACTTGGTGCCAAGACCCAGGGGGCAGTTTGGGGGACCTACACCCCTTCCTCTGAATAATCTTTCCTCTAGCCCCTTACCCATCTACCTTTGCTGACATCTCTCACCCAGAGCTGCTCAGCTACTTGCTATCTGAAACCTCGGGTCTTTGCAGCCTTTGTCTTCATATGCAGTACAAATAACATTCTGAGGTTTTATTGAAATGTCATATAAACTCAAATGAGTCTTCCTGACCTGCCCACCTACCCTCCCTCTCTAACTACCAACCTCTAGAGCAGAAGCCAGGCCCCACACCAATCCATCAAACATCCACACATTGAAGTAAAATCTGGGTTGAGTTTACAAATGCCCTCAACTGACTCTCCGAGGTCCTCCAGCTTCCTGCCTCTGGCTTTGCCTGCCAGGTCACTGTAGTTGGGGATGCCTGTTAGGTGACCACGTATTACCAGAAACAAGCTTCACACTCCCTAGCCTAAAATAGTGTACAAGATTTCCATTCTACACACGTTCGCTTGTCTTAAGCCTGAAGACATTAGTAAGCCTGTTGACTGAGGTGTGGACCCAGCACAAACTGGGCAATACTTTTCACTTTCAAAGTCTCACTGACTCAGAAAACTTCATAAAACAGAAGGGCAACTGTTATTTTGCTGACCTTCCCTGTCACCTGGGTACCCTGTCCCTTTAAGAGACAAGCTCCTGCAGGCAACGGTGGTGCACGCCTTTAATCCCAGCACTTGGGAGGCAGAGGCAGGTGGATCTCTGGGAGTTCGAGGCCATTACTGCCTCTTGCCCTTACCCTCCCCTCTCTATGTATCTCTTCACTCCATAATCCCCTTACCCATTAAATAAACTCAATACCCAAGATCTCTCTGCATGGCGTAGCTGTCTGTCTTCCATTGGCCAGGGGACCTGCCAGGGTCATGCCGCCATGAATCTTTTAGCAACAGTTCTGCAAGTCTCTTGTCTTCCTTTACTCCCGCCATTCCCTTTATTTCTCCATTTCTGGATATTAGGTGTTACTAGCTCACACTTTTTTTCCCCTTTGAGACAGGGTTTCTCTGTTTGTAGCTCTGGCTATCCTGGAACTTGCTTTGTAGGCCAGGCTGACCTCAAATCACAGAGATCTGTCTGCCTCTGCCTCCTGAATATTGGAATTGCCCTTCCCTATCAGACTTTTCTCCTACTCTGTCTCTATGCCACAGGGATGAACTGTAAAACGGATTTCTTTTTCTTGATACAAAAGGTCCAAGTAAGATCTGGGACCTCAGAAAGGGTGGTGGTGGTGCACACCTGTAATCCCAGCACTCAGGAGGCAGAGGCAGGTGATCTACAGAGTGAGTTCCAGGACAGGCAGGACTGTTTCACAGAAAAATCCTGTTTCAAAAAAAAACAAAAACAAACAAACAAAAAAGATCCGGGACCTCTTCCCGCCCAAGGGATCCCATAAATCCTGCTCAGAACAAAAAGACAGTTCTGGTCCATATGATTGTTGAAGGTTTAATTTATCCCAGGTGTGCCATGTGCCACAACAGACTCTGGTGCCAAACAGGAACTGCTGGTACCCCTCCCCCATCCTGAAACTGGTAATATTCCTAAGGGAGAGTCAGAAGTTATTCTTTACCTGGAGATAAATCTTTTCTTTTTTAACAAGCAAGCAAGCAAGCAAGCAAACAAACAAGCATCTTCATCCTTTTCCTTCTCTTGTCTATTCTGCAACCCTGAGTGAGAAATCATGTTGGGATCTATCAGCTACTCTATCAGCTACCCAAGGACCCCGTTTCTTCAAGCTGAAACTATGACATTTTCCTGTTTATTTTGCTATTTGGGCCTGCCATAGGTACCATCGCCTTCTGTATCCATCCATATTAACTAAGATCCACCTGGCTCTATCTAATTGGTAATTGATGAACCAGCCCCATCTTGGGCTTGAAAGCCATTTAAAAAAAAAAGTCAGTGAAATGATTTCTAATGATATTCTGCTATACTCATAGATTGTTGCCTAGCCCAGTGGTCATCAGAGAGCCTTCATCTAGCAACTGATGGAAACAGATGCAGAGACCCACAACCAAATATTAAGCAGAGCTTGGAGAATTCTGTGGACGAGGGAGAGATTTGTAGAAGCCAGAATGGTCAAGGACATCATAAGAAAACCCACAGAATCAACTAACCTGGACTCATAGGGTTTCACTGAGACTAAATCAACAACCAGGGCGCCTGCGTGGGACTGGCCTATGTCCTGTGCACATATATTCCAGTTGTGTAACTTGGTCTTCTTGTAGGACCCCTAACAATAGTAGCAGGGACTGTCTCTGACTTTATTGCCTTGTTTGGGACCCTTTCCTCCTCCTGGGTTGCTTCATCCAGCTTTAATAGAAGAGAAGGTGCCTAGTCTCAATACACCTTGATATGCCATGGCTGGTTGATATCCATGGGAGGCCTGCCCCTTTCTGAAGAGAAATGGAGGAGGAGTGAATGGAGGTGGGAAGATATATGGGAGGGACTGGGAGGAGAGGAAGGAGGATAAATATTGGTCAAAATGTAAAAATAAAAAAACAAAACATCAAAGGAAGATACAATAAAAAAAAATAAAAATAGAAAAAGACAAACTAGGCTCCTTCCTGCTTATGATCAAATTTCGGTTTCTTTTTTTTTTTTCTTGGTTTTTCGAGACAGGGTTTTTCTTTAGCTTTTGGAGCCTGTCCTGAAACTTGCTCCGAAACCAGGCTGGCCTTGAACTCACAGAGATCCGCCTGCCTCTGCCTCCGGAGTGCTGGGATTAAATGCATGTGCCACCACTGCCTGGCCAAGTTTCAGTTCCTTAAAGATTGGGCTATGCTCCATCTATAACCTTAACTTCAAGCGGTTCTGTACTTCCTGCTCCAGGAGACAGCAACCATGTCTTTGTTTCAAAAGGTTGTTATGACCACCTTGTTATTTTCTGCTTCTATAACCCTGCATTTGCCTGCCAAATTCCCCATTTGGAAACTCCCTTCCCCAGAGCTATAAAAAGCCTTATCTTTGCCCATATATATAATGCTGACCTCTTGAACCTCGCCTTAGGGAGGCAGTCTGTGTATGCAAATAAAAAAAAGTTTCCTTTAATTAACTGTTTAAGCTAGGTGTGGTGATCTATTTATTCCCTTAATACCAGCATTTGGGGGACAGAGGCAGGTGGGTCCCTGTGAGTTTGAGGCAGCCTGATCTACAGAGCAAGATACAGGACAGCCAAGGCTACACAGAGAAACCCTGTCTTGACAAACAAAACAAAAACCAGTAATATCAGTCTCAAAAAACCAAACCAAACAAAACAACAACAAAAAACCCCAGTAACAACATCAGATGTCTAAGATATGTATGTATGTATCCATAACTTTAATGTTTTGTTTTTGACAGTGTGGTGGTCTGAATAAGAATGACCCCCATAGGGTCATATAGGTATGACTTTGTTGGAGAAATTGTTATTGGGATAGGCTTTAAGGTTTCAAAATTCTATGCCAGGCTCAGACTATTTCTCAGTCTCTTACTTTCCTTTGCTTTTGGATCAAGATGTAGCTCTCAGCTACTATTCCAGCACCATGCTTGCTGCCAGGATGATAATGGACTAATCCTCTGAGATTGTAAACAAGCCCTCAATCAATTGCTTTCTTGTATAAGAATTGCAGTCATGGTGTCTCTTCACAGCAATAGAACAGTGGCTAAGATAGAAATTGGTACAAGGATTAGGGTATTACTGTGACAGGCCCAACCATGCTGCTTGTTGGGAGTAGTATAAAAGACTTTGGGATTTTAGACTAGAGAGTGGTTGAATGCTCTAGTGGGGCCATTCTGGTAGGAGCACAGACATCGGTACTGAGGGTGATATGAGTTGCCATGGCTCAGCTCAAGATGTTTCAGAGGGGAAGAATATTAATAAGTGGCCCTGAAGAATATTAATAAGTGGCTTTTTGCCCTGTCCTAAAAATCTGCCTGAGGCTCAGCTGTTAATTAATGGTGCTGGCAGAGGAGAATTCCTAGTATTGTCATGTGGCCATTAGCGATTACTCTTATGCCAGCTGGACAAAGAGAAATACAAACTATACAATGTGAGAAGAAAAGGAGCAATAGGAAGTGTAACAGAGCCAAGTCCAGTGCTCAAGGAGATAAAAAAAGTTTAAAAAGCCTGATGCTAAGTGAAATAAAGGGAGCTATGACCTCACAGAAAGCCACCATATAGCTAAGTTTCCAGCTGCTTAAAAGGAACGAAAGGAAAGCTGAAGCAGTGAAGGAAACCACTGAACACAGAAGCTGATGCAGATGTAACTGAAGGAGGGGCCATATTCCAGCCCTAGCAAGCAGCAGAAGCTGGTAGCTTTGACCACGTGGTTCTGGCGTCAGAGTCAAGGATACAAGACAGGAGTTGTGGAATCTCCCTCTATGGGTAAGCTGCTAGGCCAGGCACATGTCAGGGGTGTCCCTGCTTGGAGACCCAGAGAGGCCATTGAATGAACCTGTGAAGGTTACAGATTCTACCTCACTCATATAACACAGTCCAAGGATGCATGCTGTCACCAAATGGCTGTTGTATGTTCTGGACCTTTCCCGCCTGTTAAATTTTATTGTGGCTCCTTAGATTGACCCTCCTCTGAGACACGCCCCCTTTGCCAGCTATGAAGCAGTTAGGTGAGCTGTGTACCAAACCCCTGACAGCAGTTAGATAACCCGTAAAAAAGGACTGATGGGCCGTCTAACTCATTCTTGTTTGTTTGTTTGTTTATTTGTTTTGTTTTTCTCGAGACAAGGCTTCTCTTCTTGGAGTCTGCTCTGGCTGGCCTCAAACTTATGTAGCTCTGTCTGCCTCTGCCTCCCTAGTGCTGGGCCCCAACTCATTCTTCTTGCCACTCTGGGCATTTTTTTCTTTCAGAACTCAGAACTAAAATAGCTGGATTGAATTAACCTCTCTGTCTGGCCAGCTCTCATAAAACCTTAAAGAAATTTCAGATCAGCTTAATATCCTTCAGGACTACCTAGTTTCTTTGGCTGCCAAAATTAAAGAGGATTTGTTGTCTACCCCACCCCTTCAATATTTGTTCCTGGGATCTGGAATGAAGGGTTAATGGACCTAAAAACCTTAGATAAGCTGAGAGACTCCAGAAGGTAAGTGGACATACTGAGAACATCTACAGGCAGTAAGGAGCTGGAGTACAGTGCGAGGTCAACAGACCCACTTTTGTTAGTATTTACAGCTTTAAGATCGAAAGGGAATAGACCTGCAGATGGAATCTTCCACCCCAAAAGTTCCCTTTTCTGCCCTGTAAAACCTCCAAGTTCGCTATACCTGTGTGCAGTCTCCTCTCCCATGGAGACTTAAGGACAAGTTCCTTCTATAGAGGTCGGTCTCCTTTTATTTTCGTGCTGTTTCTTTGATCAACCCCAATCTAACAGACTAAACAAGTAAGAAAACAAGCCAGGATCTCGGGGCCAGATGAACTCACCGCTCATGCGCTTCCTGGCCTTTGTCAGGCTCTCGGTCGTAGTTGGTCAGGGTTGAGAAGCGCTCTGTATCCATTGGCTTGGGCCATGGGGGCGGAGTAGGAAAAGAAGACGGTGCCCGGTGCAGTCGGTTCCAGGAATCATGGGGACTGGGCAGGCCAAGCAAAGCTGTGCCCTCCTTGGAGGCAAAGATGCTGCCCCCTGGTATGAAGCAGGAGATGAGGACAGAGGACCAGGAGTGTGAGCTAGGCAAGATGCCAACACTGTAACCCTAACAGGTTGCGAGAAGCCTTAGCCTAGAGGGAGGTCAGTGTGCAGGACAGACAGGAGGGTGAGGGACAGTGGAATGGATGTGGTGAGACACTCACTCAGTGCATGGCTGCCCAGACCTCCAAAAGCGTGGCTGCCCAGGCTCCCCAGGCCTCCAAAGGTGCTGGATCTGCTGAAGGTGTCTGTAGGGGTGAGGGAAGGGCAACAAGGGGTCAGGAATCTGCAAGGCTTCCACCCTGCCCAAGACTGAAAGGGTGGCCCAGGAACACCTTAGTCTGGGCAGGTGCCACCTATATTGATCTGAGAGGTTGTGGGACCTCCTTCCCACCCATTCACATCCCTCTAGCCGTGAAGTGTGTGGAAGATGCCACCCAGGTTTCTCGATCACCTACCTGTTAGATGACTAGAGGGCAGGAAGCTGCCATGATGAGCTGAGGGTCCAAATGGGTTGGCGGTTGGATGAGTGACACCTAGGTGGGGGGTAGCCAGGCTGACAAGAGCTTCCAGACCTGGGACCTCCTGCCTCTAGTGTTGGGTTACAGGTAGAGAACCCCAGTTTTACATTGGGACCCCCTATCTTCCATTCTCTCACCTCTACATCACTGTACAGGTGTATGGTTAGATTTAGATTATGAGATTGGAATTCAGCCTGGTCCCCAGGTCTGGGGCCCCAAGGTATGCACAGGCAGTGGTACTCACTATAGTGGAGCTCCCCGAGAAAGAAGCCAAGATGTGGATAAAAATGGAGAGGGAAGGCCTAAGTAAGTGAGCCATAATGGGACTGATCCCCAAGGTAGTTACCCCAGAGCTTAAAACTGGAGCAAAAATTGATCCTGGCTAACCCAAGGGAGGCAGCCGGTCTTGGGTCCATAGTCTTGGGTATGCCCTCTATTTTCTAGCTAAATGAAAATTTTAAATGAGTAATGAGTAAGAAACAAAACACTCAGAAATGCTTCTATAACTCCTAAACACCTTGTTGGTAGGTTAGAAGATGATACCAGAAAGGAATGAATTCCCTTTCCTGTGTCGTCTCGTCTCAATCCCAGTTAAAAAAAAAAAAATCAGCTGTTCGGTGGATACTAGGCAGGTTTAAGAAATAGAGAACTTAGGCAATCAGAGAAAAAAATATAGCCTAATAAAAACAATTTTAAAAAAAGATTAAAAAAGAAACAGAGAACTTTGGGAAGCGGGGAGAAGGTAGTGATCATCCAAGATAAGAAATTGAAGGATGGAGGCCAGCTAAAGAACATGACACTAAGGTATGTTCTGGGGCTTGAGTCAGCACTGTCAGCCTATCATGCTAACAAAGGTAAAAACATGCTTGCTCTCATTCACCTACAGGTGGTCACCAAGTGGGAAGAAGATGAAAAGGACTAGGGTAGGCTGGGCAGTGGTAGCGCATGCCTTTAATCCCAGCACTGGGGAGGCAGAGGCAGGTGGATCTCTGTGAGTTTGAGGCCAGCCTGGTCTATAAAGCAGATGACAAAGCCATTACACAGAGAAACTGTTTTGAAAAACCACAAAACTAAAAGAATGACTGAATGAATAAATAAATAAGAAGGAAGAAAAGGACTAGGGTAGCGAGAGATCTGAGGTGACAGACCTGAGACCTGCTTGTGGAAGAAGAGGGATCCTGCAGAGGGAATAGCAGACAGCATTCACATATGTTTATGTACACATGTGTGCATACATACAGGCTGAATAACATTCTCAAAGAAGCCTGAAATTGATGCTGACCCTTGTCTCTACCAATATCTGAGTGCAGATTTTGAGTCTGAGACGTTCCTTTTATGCCTGTAACTGAAGGGCAGCCTATACTTGTATCTAGACTTTATCCATATAGCCTCATGCTAACTTTTTCTTCCTGGAGACTAAGGATCTGGATACATGTCAGGCAGATGTCCTCAAAAGACCCTGGGCATTGAGGAAAGAAAGCACATAACTCCACACTGCCATGTACTTAGGGAAGGCTGGGACACAGGTTTTTGGGAACAGTTCCCTGCATGTGGAGACAAACCAGATACCGTCCTAGGTATGTTGAGTTTAGAGAAGATAGGGCACCAAGGATGAGGGATGCCAGGATGGGGAGGAACCAGATCACCAAGTATTAAGTTATGTAGGATAGAGGCCCAGTGGATACACACTGGCTAGGGCCTTCAGGAACTAGCACCAGGGCACCACAGTATATGAGCTGGCTTTGGGAAGGTTGGGGACTTGGGCCTGGGACCAGAGGTAGATATAAAGAACACTGTGCAAGGGCCCTGGAGAGTTCTCTTACTCCCAACACAGGAGAAGACGGATGACCCCTGATCCCAGCTACCTTTGATCTCACCTGTGCTGGAGAAGAGGGGCCTGGCCAGGTCCTGTGGGTAGTGGAACCCAGAGAACATGCCTGGGGCGGGGGGCCGGCTGAAAAGGTCCAGCTTTGTGCCAACCTCCAGCTTGTGGGGGTCCAGCTGCATCTGCAAGGGAACAGAGTGTGTACCAAGGCTGTGTGCAAGGGCTTGGATATTGCTCAAGGTAAAGCCTCAACTGATAATCTGGACTAAACAGGGACTTCACTGGAGGTACCTCCTGAGGAACAGGAGGTAAGGGGAAGGAAAGGTAGTTTTAGTGGGTTTCATCTGTTACAGAAAAACTAAAACCTTCCTATAATATGCAATGCATGGAGTCACAACGACACACTCCACTTTTATATCAGAGCTTTCAATCGTTGTACCCTTATATAACAGCATATTTGTATATATCATATCACAGAAAATATCTTATTTAGAATTCACAAAATTCAGTTGGAAAAGCATATCTATAGGCCAAAGTTGTTCCAAGCATGTTTAGTTTCCAACAGTGTACTTTATGTTTAACAATAGAAATCTAGAGTAGTAAGATGGTTTAGTAGGTAAAGGCTCCTTCCTGCTTTCAAGGCTGAGCACCGGAGTTCAAACTTTAGGACCTACATGGTAGATAGAGAGATCCAACTCTTACATGTTGTCCTCTGACCTCCACATGCATGCCATGGAATACATGTATTGCATGTGCAGATGCACAAATGTGTATACACACACACATACGTAAAAATATACAAAACCCCCAAACCATGACTCTATTAAAATTATATAGACCTAAGGTACCTATCCTCCTTTGAGCTGGCCATCCCTTCAGGGCTCTGTGGCCAGAGGCTACACCGAGTGTGGCTCTGAAGACCATAAGGACAAAGTCACTGTCCTTCTCCCCTTGCTTGTATGACCTGCCCTGCCACACCTTGCTATGGCCGGCATTTGGGAGGGGTCACGGTTCTCCCATTTCATAAAGTATGTTACTGAATGTGTGTGAGGGTGGTGTTTGCATATCACCACGGGAGTCCCCTGTAATAGAGGCGCAAGTGGGAAGTATGTAGACCTTATGTCTATAGATGCCTATCCAACTAGGGTCACAAACTAATCTCAGCGAGTGAGAACCAAGCCCTTATTCTCCAAGGGATCACCAGGGATCACTCAGGAATCTCTGTAGTCACACTCCTGGAAATCCACACTGCCAGCACCTATCCACCCCCACCTAAGCGTGTGCACTGGAATATAAACAGCACTCTCTCGGGAGTCCCTTTCTGTTGACTTCTTTAAGGTCTTTTAGGAGATAATGATTTTGACAACCACACAAAAGGTGCAGTGCATCCTGGGTAACATCTGTATTAGATTGTCCTGATTGCAAAGAACCTCTCCTACTCCCAGCCCACCCACCACTGCCCATTAGACACCTGTGCACATGCATGTGGCCCTCATCCATGGTCTCTGCACTGTTTTCCCTACCTAGGTTCCTCCCGAGCCGTTCCATGAGTTCTCCTCACTGCAACCTTGGAGCTTGTCAGAGCCTCTCCTTACACACCCTACAGTCCTCCCAAGTGGCCCCACCAGGGAGGCCCCAGCAAGTGCGCCCGCCTGGCCCGGCCTCACCTTCATCTTCTGCTGCTGGTGGTAGATCTGCCAGGCGATCTGCACGTGTACCGCACACCACTTCCCTGGTTTCTGTGGCAGGACCGGGATGTGCTCAGAGAGCCCAGCGCCTCTTCCCAGGTCTCATCTTCCCCAGATTCCTATCATCAGGACCACCCAAAGGCCACCCAGGAGAGAACCGGAGTCCTTCCCAGCCACAGCCCTGGGTGTGCTTCCAACTCCTCTTCCCAACATGCACTCACTCACCCTGACTGTTGTCCGGTATGGATCAGGCACCTAGGAAGAACAGGAGAGATGAGTCATGTCCAGGTTCTTTGGGAGCACAGGACCAGGGTTGGGAGAGACAGCATCTGAGTGTATGTTGCCAACTACATAGTGAATGCCAACACCTACCCCAGGGGCTTTCTGCAGGAAAGTGTGAACCGCACTGGCCCGGCCTGTTATCTCGATTGAGTTTGAAGTCTGAAGGTACAGGCAGAGAGGAAGAGAGAGCATGAGTGAACCCACACACTGAGAAGGAAGGAAGCAGGAAGCCTCTTGGAGCCCCAAGTTCGGGGATGGACCATGCTTTGGCCTGCTGGTTGGACCCTGTATACTGTTACCATCTCATCATAGCACACCTCCCCTTTAGTCAAAAGGACTCGCCAAAGCTTATGACATCACTAAGGAGAGTGAACTGCCTCACTGTGATAAGCACCTATATACCATGGATAAGACAGTACTTAGGGGAAGGCAGCTAGCCCAGTCCTTAACCCTGGAGATTTGGGGAGCTGCTGGATAAACATAGGTGGGTTTGTGAGATGGGGCCCACATTCCCTATTTGGAGGGAGAGGCCATGAAACCTCTCCTGTTCAGCTCCTGGCTCTTCCACTCCTTCTCTCCTGTGAATGTCAGGTGGACAACTGCAGCACTGCTCAGAAGCAGCCTTTCTGACTGCAAACAGGCCCAGACCAGCAGGGGCCGCTTTCAATAAAAGCTGGAGCTACTCTAGCCCTGCCCCATGCCCCAGACCCACCCACCTGCCAGTCACCTCCCCGCCAAGAACAGCTGAAATCAGGCTGAAAAGCACCCTGTAGAGACCCAAAGGGGCCAGGGTGCACAAGCAGGGCGGGCAGCCCAGGGATTGGGAGAGGGAAGGGCTGCAAGAGAGACAGAGTTCTGGGCTGTGGGCCCCACATGGTGGAGGGCCCTTGAGCACGGTGTCTCCCTCAGCACCCAGAAGGAAACACAGAAAAATCTGTAATTCCCCACATCCCAAGCAGACAGTAAGGTGCACTTGAGCATTGGGACTCACGTTGGAATGTCGGAAGTAGGGGCTGTCCAGCTTGGGAGAGAACTTGTCAAACTGCAAGGGAAGAAAGCAAAGGGAAGCCTTCCTGTACAGGCCTGATGTCCTCCAGTGACCCAGAACCCACCCACGACTGGGTTGGGTAGTGACCAGGATGGCATTGCCTTTTCTGAAGCAGGTGGCCTGGTGTCACTTGGCTCCTAGAGAGCACTGGTTTCTGGCCCTGTGGGGCCCAGGCTCCTGGTTCAGAGGTTTGTGTGGACCCAGCTTGGGGGCTCTAGGTAAGGGTGTAGGCATGTAGCCCTGGTGGAAAAGCTATGAACGACTGGGGCTGCTCACAGAGAGACGAAATGGCTGCACTCAACCAAGTGGAAACAGACTAAGGAACACACAAGGGGGCTGTAATGGACTGGTTCTTGCAGCCCTATCCTGTCTAGGCTCCAGACTTGGTGTCAGGCCTAGGACCCAGCACAGTTGCAGCCAGCTGAGGCTCATAGTCCAGCACCCAGCGTGGCAGTCAAGTAGGGTCTACATACACACAGGCAGGAGACATTGGGACTGCCTGCTCAGGGCCTATGTGCATAAGAATGAGTGTGCGTCTATAGGTACAGCTGCCTGTCCCGCCCAGCCCGCCCCACCAGCAGCCAGCACTTGGGCCTACGCACGGGCGAGGGTGCACTGGGTGGCATGAGCGGCGTCGGGGGCAGGCCAGCGAAGGGGGCAAATGTGTGTTGGTGCTGGTGTGTGTGCTGGTGCGTGTGCTGATGCGTGTGCTGGTGGAATTCAGCCCGCAGCAGAGCCCCCGGGCCCAGGGAGGCACCAGGCCGCTCGGTGTTCTGCACCAGAAACCGCGTGTTCAGCTCTTGCCTGAGCAGTTCATGATCTACAAGAGAAAAAGAGAGAGAGACAGAGAGGCACGTCGGCCGCGGGCTCCCAGCGGGGCAAGGCGGATAGTCACCTGGCACTCCCGGGGTCGGCAGCCCAAACCGTGATGGCCGCTAGCAACGTGCTGGCCCAAGGGTGGAGATAAGAGAAGAGCCTGTGACCAAGTACCAATCAGAATCCCCGAATGAGGCTGGCAATACATGATTGGCTGGTTGAATGAGATCAACAGGCTGGCATCTAGAGGCAAGGAGAGAAGTCTGTGAGCCCTGTCCCATGTGGCCCACTGCCAGGGCCGGGATACTTGTCCCCTGTAAGATGGCTGGCTGCTTCCATTCAGAAATCCTCCAGAGATGAAAAATTAGTGAAAGTTCCAGCCAGGGGTAAGGTGGGGGGTGGGGGGGGAGGACACAACTTGCGCCCACTCGGGATCTTCTGGAGGTTGGGAGCGCAAACGCAGGGTAGGTAGGGGCTGCCTGCACTTGACTGGTGAGTCTTCTAAGACCCAACCCCCAGGAAATGGTCAGCCCACGAACTTCCTGGGATCTTCACCACTTCCGTCTTGCCCCAGGGCCCCATCAAGGTTAAGGGCACACTGGGTGTAATACCTACCGGCAGGGTGTCCTGGGATGACCAGGCTGCTGGCAGGCAATGCTGGGGGCGGGGGCAGTGTTGGGGGGGCAGCAAACATTGCTGCAGCGTGGTGCTGGTGCTGCGCCTGGGACCTGAGCGCCAGGTGTGAGGTAGACAGGTGGGGGCCAGGGCCATGTGGCGACAGTGTCACGTGCTGTGACAGTGTCACGTGCTTCGCCAGGCCCAGAGGGGTGCCGCTGACTGTATTGCTGCTCCTGCTGCAGGACACAGGGTTCAATGGTATCCTTTCTCTCAAAACCTGGTTGTCCCGTAGCCACACACCCCCACCCCAGGACATGGTCTCACCCACTCCCAACCTGAGGCTGTGCAGGTGCAGGCTGTTGGGTGCCACCTGGCCAGAGCCAGAGCCCACAAAGGCGCCCAAGGACAGAGGCACGTGTGTTGGGAGTGAGCCACGATGCTGCGGGGTGAGCTGTGGCTGAGAGATGTGGTGAGGTACTATGGGGGCTTCCCTCTTCACCAGGGGGCTGTCCCGAGCTTCTGGCAGAGGTCCTGAGGGCGCCGGTGCTGTGTCAGGCAGTAAAGACTCGGTGCTGAGCTCACGGCTGCGCTCCAGGCCTGACACCTTGGGCACTGCCCCGGCCTTGGGCACTGCCCCGGCCTTGGCCTCTGACTTCTCACCTTTCCCAGAGCCTGCAGAGAAAGGGTGGGTGTGCTGTTGGACCTGGTCCTATGTACCCAAATGCCACCTACCAGTAGCCAGAATGTCTAGACCTTGCCAGTGCTCCTGACACAGTTTCAAAGGTCTGGCAATGACCTCTATAACCAACAGGGAAACATGAACAGATATAAGTCATGTGACCTCAGGTAATGAACATAGGTGAGCACAGCCTCTGCCCTGGTGCTCAACCCAGGTCCTTTTCATAACTCCAGAATTCTAGGCTCCAAAGGACAGGTGTTACTGCCTCCCCCACCCCCTTTTTTCTTTTAGTTTTTCGAGACAGGGTCTCTCTGTCTCTCTTTGCTGTTCTGGAACTTGCTCTGTAGATCAGGCTGGCCTCGACCTCAGATATCCTCCTGCCTCTGTCTCCGGAGTGCTGGGATTAAAGACGTTAGCCACCACGTTCAGCTTTTAAAGATTTATTTATTATGCAGTGTTCTGCCTGCAGGCCAGAAGAGGGCGCCAGATCTCATTACATATGGTTGTGAGCCACCATGTGGGCACTGGGAACTGAACTCAGGACCTCTGGAAGAGCAGCTAGTGCTTTTAACCTCGACGCCATCACTCCAGCCCAATAACCCATTTTTAAAGTTGTTGTGAGGCTTGCTTTTCTTTTTTCTTCCCTATCTTTATTTTATGTGTATGAGTGTTTGACTGCATGTATACCTGTACACCACCAGATTGCCTGGTGCTTGTGGAGGCCACAACTGGGCATCAGATCATCTGGAACTAGAGTTGCAGATGGTTGGGAGCCACCATGCGGGTGTTGAGAATCAAACCCTGGCCCTTTGGAAGAATAATCAGTGCTCTTAATCTCTCCAGCCCCTTCTTTTTCTTTTAAAATAAATATTTTTTAAATCATGTGTTTTTAAGGTGTGTGTCTTTGTATGAATATATGTGAGTCCAAGTGTCTGAGGGAGAGAAGAGGCATGATCCCTTGGAGCTGGAGTTACAGGCATTTGTGAGCTGCCTGAAGTGGGTCCTCTGATAGGGCAGTATAATTTCTTAACCATTGGGCCATTTCTCCAGTCCCACCTCTCCTCTCCATATATAGTCCTGGTTGTTTTGGAGCTTGCTCTGTAGACCAGGCTGGCCTCAACACAAGCTATTCCCTGTACCCGCCTCCCAAGTACTAGGACTAAAAGCATTCACTACTATGTCCAGCTCCCTTGCTTTTAAATATTTTCCTTCACATTGTGTCCACGAGCTTGTGTATGCATATGCCATGGTGCACATGTGGGACTCAGAGGACAGTCCTCTGAGTCGTCTGCTCTCTTCTTCTATCGTGTAGATTCAGGTCTTCAGGCACGGCAGCACCCTAACCACTGAACTACCTCACTAGCTCTTGCTTTTGGTGTTGGGAGACAAGTCTTGAATATTCTAAGCAAGTGTTTTACCACTGGGTTATCTCTTTAGCCCTCTTTGACTTTTTATTTTGAGATAGGGTTGCTTTAAGTCACACAGGATGGTCCTGAACTCACTCTACAGTCCACAATGGGCATCAAATTTTAATCCTCCTACCTCAGCCTCCCAAGTAGTTGAGAAGACAGTCCTGTGCCATGAGGCTCAGCTCTCATGACCCCATTCTGTAGAAAAGATTAAGGTTCTACAAGGACTTGTCCTAGGCTTGACACTTGTCCAACTACTACTTACTCCCTTGGCTGCAGCATTCATTAACATACACTCATGCAGCCACACATGCATGCATTGAGGCCTACTTCTTTCTGCAGTGTTCAGTGGAAGCTGTCCCTTACACCAAGACTGCTTCCCTTTGCCCCACTGTTTCTTGACCACCATCCCTACCCGATGGGATAAACAGACCCTCCCAAATTTCCTACTATTCTTGAGTCTCTTCAACCTGAGACCCATGTGCGGGGCTGGAGATACACTCACCTCTGTCAGATGCCGGGGCAAAGAGCTTCTCAGAGCCTACAGATGCCTGAGGAGAGAGAAGAGGCTAACAGGCTGGAGCTGAGAGTGACTATTCCCCATTGCCCCAGCAGAACCCAATCCCTGGTGTACTACACACTTCTGAGGAAGATACACATTTAGTCCTGCACTTGGAAGTGAGCACACATGTTTACAATGTTCAGAAGGCTCCTTTCTACTTAGAGCAATGGACTTCATCAAAATGGGGCATGTGATGGTCTTATGGTGGAATGATCTGAGAATGCCACCAGCCTGGCAGGTAACCCATCTCTGTGTTCAGGACTCTGTTGGGTCTCAGGCACAGGCTGAAGACAGAGAAGGGAGGAGGGTCTTTACTGCATATCCCTCTGGTCCTGCCCAGGACAGTGTCAACGCTGAGAAAGGTAGATGAATACATGGATGTGCACCCTTTAACACTGTCATTTAAAAATGTGCAGGCTGCACTGATCTTGGGATACATTCAGTTGTAGGTTATAGTTGGTTTTATTAGGTACCAGGTGGGAGATGTGCCATTCACATGCTGTAGTACAACACCATTCTCAAGGTCTGGGACTGGCCAAGTCAGGGCTCACGTAGTCCAAGCATGTGATCACTCTGAGGGAATCTGCTGTTCTTTTCCATTTCTCCTATAAAAACACACTTGTATATGTTGAACACTCACAGCTATGCAAGTAGGAGAATGTGGCCATGGAAAATGAACAGAGGGCCCATACTCTGAAGGACTTTGAAAACACTTGGTAAAGGAGGAGGATCTTTCTGTCTTCTTAGATCATTTCCTGAATATGTCCTCAAAAAATCATGCTGAAACTCTTAATGTGATGGCACAAGCAAGTTGATCTATGGGCACTGAAGAAATGTGTGAAGTTCTGGTGAATGGGATCAGTGTGCCCTAATGCTGGAGGCCCTGGAGAAGTCCCTGCCATCCCACCACGGAAGGACACAGGGAGTGCCCTCTGTGAACAGGAAGGACACTGGGAGTGCCCTCTGTG